GACCTGAGTTCAAATCCAGCCCCAAACACTTAACACTTACTAGCTGTGTGACCTTGGGCAAGTCACTTAACCCCTATTGCCTCACCCAAAAAAAAAAAAGAAAGAAAGAAACAACTCAAAATGAGAGTATATAAAAGAGAAATTTCAGTTGCAGCAATTTGAACTATAACCTGTATGTTGGACCAGAAGGCTCATTTGTATTAGAGCCACTCATGTCTCCCCCCATGCTGTGTGGTGCTAGTCACAGAAGAGGGCTGCTGTGTGCCTCTTGGACTGCCTGTCTGCCTGCCTCTCACACGCCAAGTATCTCTGGCATCTCTGTAGTCACCAGGCCCCATTACTGTGGTTTGTATGGGGGTTGTCAGGAAGGTCCGTGGTCACAGTGGAGGGGAGGCAGGCAGGGAGAGTAGGGGGACAGCAGGGGAGGCTTAGAGTTTCTTTGCAGTCACATGGACCTCTAATCCTCAGCAGCTCTGCCCCCCTCCCATTCTTCCTCTAGGAGAGACAGAGGAGGCAAACACTGACTGCCTGAGCCAGCCCAGTGCCGTTGGCTGAAGGCAGCACTTGGTCAGGTTGGAAAGGATGCTTCCACCCATCACAAACAGTGAGCACCGAAATGGACGTGATGTTTCAGGGCACTCTTATGGGGGTTCATTTTCCTGAGTGTGCTTTGGTCGCTTCATCCTCTACAGTGACGCCGGGCTGGTCGCAAAAGTGTTTAAATGCAGGAGAGGTTTTTGTTCAGAAGGCTAGCTAGTTCTATGTCAGTTTCCTCTCAATCTCTTCTCTTCTTGCCCCTTCACCTATTTGAAGCTCCTGGGGTCCATATCTTCTACTCATTTGCCCCCTATTCTTTGTCTCTTCTGATATAGAAGAAAGGATTTTTCCTCCAAACGAGTCAGAACTTGGAGAAGCACTAAGTGTCTGCTGTGACTGAGGCCTAGAGAAGTGGGGGGGGGGGGGCTACTAAGGGAGGAAACCCAGAGAATCTGATAGGTCACGTGGTGGTGGGGAGCTGAGGAAGGACATAGAGAAGGAGGAAGTTACTACCCTGCTGTGATGTAGGGTGAAAGTGAAAGATGATAGGAAGAGAGAGCTGGAGGAGTGAGTCACCGTGGGTCATGGAGTAAGAGGGAGTAAGGAAATAAGTGGTCAGATGAGTGATAGCCCTTAAGCTGGTCCCTTGGCAGGTTAACTCCTCCCTGCAAAGCCTTCCTTTTGGGAGTGGGGAGGCTGGGACACCCAGGCCCATGGAACAGGCTGGGGCCTGTTGCACTTGGACAATGTGAGAGCAAAGATTTTTCCAGGCCCGATGCTTCTAGCACCTGATCCATCGGCAGGAACTCTCCTTAAAGTGCTCTATGAATGCGAGTCGCTGTTGTTATGCTTCCTTCTTGGGTTTTTGTCACATTTCTGTGGTGTCCTCCTCCCAGCAGAAATAACTTCCCCTCCTCAGACTTTCCCTGTCATAGACGGGCTCTTTCTTCTGAACTCTTCCCCCGTTCTCACAGTTCCCACACCCCACCCCACCCCGACTCCATAGCTGGACATTGAGGCTTTAACTGCCTCAAGCCTCCTCACTTTGGCTCACTCGGCCATTAAAATGGATCATCCTAAAGCATAGACCTGATTGTCTATTCCCCTCCCCCTCAAGCTACTCCACTGCTTCCATAATCAAATATAAAATCATCTGTCTGCCTTTTAAAGCCCTTTCCTACTGGAAAACCTGGCCCTTCCTAATTTTCCGGTTTTCTTACACTCCACGCCCCCTACCCCTCTTAACACTACCAAGCTCTATATCTTCTGACTCTACAAATCTACACTGACCACTCTCCCCCATGCCTGCATAGCTTTCCTACTTCATCTCCACGTTCCTGCTTCCTCCAGTCTTCTCGAACTTTAGCGCTTTCCCTTTGAGATTATCTTCAGTTTATCCTGTATATATCTTTGTTCACAGTGATTTGTGTGCTCTTTGTCCCATTAGATTATGGCTTCCTTGACATCAGGGACTGGCTTTTGCCTTTCTTTGTCTCCCCAGCCCTTAGCATGGTGCCTGGAACGTTCTAGGTGCTTAATGAACACTTGCTGACTGACTCTGTATCCACCTCAGCTCCTCTTATTGTCCTCCTTCTGAGGGGACAAAGAGAAAACCACTAGGTGCTGCCCCACAGTCACAGCATCCTTCACAGTGTACCACCAGCCTGTCTTAGTGCAATTTAAGTGAGACTGGAGAGGGTCACCCTCGGCTGGAATTTGTGTAAGTTCCACATCTTGGAATTCCCAACTTTGTTCAAGGCTCTCCATTCAAATGCCTCCTCCAACAAGAGGCTGATGCACACTTTAAACTTTGTGGAATGAATAAATCCTTTTTCAGATTGTGCCCTCCTCCCTTACTTCCTCCACTATCCTGGAGGCTTTGGCTGCTGGGGATGGAAGGAGGCTGAGGCTTTGAGGTTTAAGCAGGGTCTCTCCAGATTTGTCTGTGCTTGAAGTGTCCCACATCTGTAGGCGGCCTTTCCCAGGCCCCTCAGCTGCTAGTGTCTTCCTTTCTCAGATTACATTCCATGTACTTTGTATTGTGCACATACCTAGCTATTTATAGTTTTTCTTACACATTAGACTGTGAGCTCTTTGAAGGCAAGGATTGTTTTTACCTTTCTTTGCACCTCCAGTGGTTAGCACGGTTCTTGGACCTCTAGTAAATGCTGCATAAATGCTTGCAGATTGACTTTGCAATCAAGTAGCCTCAGAAACTGGGTGACTGGTGCAGCTTCCTCTTGGGTCATTCGTCTTCTGTTCTGGCTCAGATCCCATTGCACACCCTGTGTTGTAGATCTGCCTCTGTGCCCAGAGACTGCAAGGTCCTGTGCATTTACCAGGCTCTTCTCAGAACTTCTCCCAGGGGGCCACTTCTGCTGCCAATGGCTGGGTTAGGAATGTGCCTGGAAGCCCAGAGCCGGGCTCAGCTGGCCTGGTGGTGCCTTTGGCAGCTGTCCTCCTTCCTTTTGGAAATACTCCCCCTCCCAAGCTTTAGCTGGACCTTTCTCTCTCTCCCTCCCTCCCTCCCTCCCTCTCCCTCCTCTTTTTTCTTCTTCTCTCTTTCTCTCTCTAAGAGAGAGGAGAAAGGTGTAAGGGATTGTCATATCCTTCTGAATTGTAGGGCAAACAAATCGAGTAAAAAGATGCTAGTGGGTAGGGGGCCGTGGGAGTGCGAAACTGAGCACATATTTATTACGGTGACTATTGAGCAAAAAAATTAAAGATGATAAATTCAGACAAGACATAGCCCATCCTGTCTGGGAGGTTATAGTCTTGTAGGGGAATTAGATACCCACATAAATTAATGAATAATAACAACAATTATAATAAATAGCTAGCATTTATATAGTTCTTTAAGGTTTGTGAAGCACTTTACAAATATTATCTGTTTTACCCTCAAAACAACCTTGGGAGGTAAGTACTTATTAACCCCAGATGAGGAAACTGAGGCAGATAGCAGTTTAAGTATTCTTAACTTTTGTGCTCAGGGTCTCACAGCTAGTAAGTGTCAGAAGTTGGATTTGAGCTCAGACCTTCCTAACTAGTAAGTTCAGTAGGCTATCTACTATGCCACCTACCTGTCAGTAATATAGGGGCAGCTAGGTGGCACAGTGGATAGAGCACTGGCCCTGGAGTCAGGAGTACCAAAGTTCAAATCTCACCTTAGACATTTATTAGCTGTGTGACCCTGGGCAAGTCACTTAACCCCAATTACCTCCAAAAAAAGTAATATACACAAAATTATGTGATAAGTGCATTAGGATTATTTTTAGTTATCTGACTCTTTGTGACTCCATTTGGGGTTTTCTTAGCAAAGATACTGGAGTGGTTTTCCAGATGAGGAAACTGAGGCAGAGTAAAATTACTTGCCCGGTGTCACCCAGCTAGTAAGTGTCTGAGGCCAGATTTGAACTCAGGAGAATGAGTCTTCCTGACTCTAGGCCCTTCACTCTTTCCATTGCACCTCCTAGTTGCTCCATTATGGTTGTAGAGTGCTATGTGAGGCATGCAGTAGGTTGTTATTTACTGGGTGGATCAAGGAAGATTTCATGGAAGAGGTGGCATTTGAGATAGGTTTTTAAAGGATTTGTGGAAAGATCATGGATTTTTGAGGTAGGAAGGAACCTTAGAAGTCACCTTCTCCTACCCTCGTCTTTTATTGGTGAGAATGCAGAGAGATTAGGTTAACATCAACGTCACACAGTAGTAAATCACAGAGCCAAGACTGAAATCCAGGTCCTCTGTCTCCAAATGCACTGAAATTGTTTGAAGAAAGCCTCGAAAGGAAGTCTTACGGTATAATTTGCTTGGCTAGTAAAAGTGTGTGTGTGTGTGTGTGTGTGTGTGTGTGTGTGTGTGTGTGTGTGTGTGTGTGAAATGGGATTTGAACTCTGGTCTTCTTAACTCCAGATATAAAGCCCTATCCACTCTGCTACACTACCTAGGTTGTAAAGGCTACAAATGTCAGGTTGAGGACCTTTCTTCCCCACCCAGACTCAGATCTTGGCTTTGCTGGTCCCTGGTACAGTGAATTCCAAACCTTTTTTAGACTCTGTTGGATCTTGGACGCAGAAAAGCTTTGTACCGTGGCTTCCTAGGAAATAGCAGCAGCTGATGTAGAGTCAACTGTCTCTCTGCTCCCCCGATTCCCCCTTTGCACACACTGCCTCTGCTGCAGATGTCAGTGTCAGGAATGCGCCAGGAGGCCTTGAGGGCTGCTAAGTTGGATTGGGGGAGGACCATATCTGTTGGGGAGACAGCCAAGTAGATGGGAGATATATGGACAGTGCTGAAGGGAGTTGAGGACTGGTAATGTAACGAAAGTCATAGGCTCAGTGCGTGGAGAGGAGATTTACGCGGTCACACAGGGCCATAATGGTTAAATGAGAGTTTCCCCCTGCCCCCTAGGTCCTGCTCATTGTTTTCCTCAGTACTGACAACGTTTCCTTTTTCTCTTGTAGGCACTGAAAATTTTGGCACCATGAATTGGGGAAGGATAAAAGAGGTGATGTGCGGGATTTGAGAGACCCTTTAGAAGAACCAGAAGGAACCTTGAGTGACTGACCAAGTCCACCTGAGTCTTCCCTGTTCCCCCCTTTTCTTCCTTTGGCGACTGGAAATTAGCATTCAGCAACCACTGGTGAGGGGAGCCCATGCTCCAAGGGGCTTTTCCCTGGGGGATGGGCAGCTGGTAAGCTGGTATCTCTTGGCCCTGGCATAGCAAACCACACGATGAACCTCCAGGCCCAACCCAAGGCCCAGAACAAAAGGAAGCGGGTTCCGTTTTTCAGCGACCCAGAAACAGCAGCAGCAAAGGAGCAGCAGCAGCTGAAGGAGGGGCAGTATTATGGTCATGGTGGGCCAGTTAGCAGCATCCCTACCTCCCAGCCTGCCGAGCTACCCCCTCACAATACCCTGTCGCTACTGAACTCAGTAGTTTACAGAACAGACCGGGGTAATCCTCCCATGCTTTCTCAACCGGTAGCAGCTGTGAAGTGGCCAAATTCAGTGATGGGCCGGGTGCCCGAACGGGTGGGATGCAAGCTGGCAGCAGCAGTCCCAGTCCTCTCCCCACCCGTTGTGGAACCATGCAATCACTATGTATGGTGGCCAAAAGGGGGCCCCCCACCCTGGGGTTGGGGTCTCGGGTTTCTACAGCCACCCCGAGGCCTTGAAACGAAGCCAGGAGAAAGGGATCCTGCCACTGGATCCGTACAATGATGCCATACAGCAGATGATGTCCCAAAAGGCACAGCTGGAGCTGGGGAGGCCCCAGGCCCCAGTGAACTCCTTCCACACACCCAAGAAACCCCCGAGCCAATTGCCCCTGCAGCCTTTCCAGTTGGCATTTGGGAACCAGGTGAACCGCCACGTTTTCCGACAGGCCCCACCTGGTACCAATCCAGCTGCCTTTCCCCCACAGCAGAAACAGCAGGCCCTCCCCCAGATGCAGCTTTTTGAGAATTTCTATCCTCCCCAGCAGCAGCCTCCACCTCCACCCCACTCCCAGCAACCCCAGGACTTCAGCCTTCAGTCAGCTGGCCCCATGGGTCAGGCTCACCTTGGGGCCCATCACAGTATGGTGCCCTGTCCCTTCCCTGCCAATCCTGAGATGAACCCAGAGCTCCTGAAGGCCCTTATGCAGGACCAGTCTACGCAACCTGTGCTACCTCAGGCCCAGATCTCCTTCCCACGGCGCTCCCGGCGCCTCTCCAAGGAAGGGATTCTACCGCCCTCCTCATCCACAGCTGCCCTGGATGGCCCCCAACCCCGGGAAGAGATGTCCAGCAACCTGTTCTTGCATCACTGGTCACAGCAGCAGCACCTGCCCCAGGGTAGCCTGGTGCAGCCCCATCCCGAAACCCTGGGTCATGAGAAGGGCAGCCACCTCATGCCCCAGTCAGAGCAAGGTGGGGCTATTCTTGGTGGTCAACAGCACCTGCCTGAAGGGGAGAGACTAGCGCAGAATGGCCGGGAGCGGGAGGCCCCTGAAGGCGGTGATGCCTGGGGAGCCAATGACTATGGCGTGGTTCGAGGAGGGGTGATTCAGAGCACGAGACGGCGGCGGCGGGCTTCCCAGGAGGCCAATTTGCTAACATTGGCTCAGAAAGCTGTGGAACTGGCCTCACTCCAGAATCCAGTGGTAAGAACCGAGATCCTCCAGAACAGTTTGGGAGCAATTTAAAGACTAGTTGGATTCCAGAGAACATACAGAAGCTAGACCAGGGACAGAATGTGTTGGGTACAGAAGGGCTGAAGATTGGGTCAGTCAGTCAAGAAACATATATTAAGTACCTGTCGTTTGCTGGGGTACTAAAACAGTGAAACAGGCCCTGCCCTTAATGAGTTTACATATTATTGGGGTAGAAATAATGTATACCCAAAATAGATACAGGACAATTTGGGGGCAGGAACACTAGTAGCTTGGGGGATTCAGAAAGACTTCATATAGAAAGCAGTACTAAAACTGATTCTTGAAGAAAACTAGTGATTCTGAGATGCAGAGGAGAGGAATTACATTCCAGGCTCCATCCTACATTGATTTGCAGCTCCACCAGCAGTGTATTAGTGTACCTATTTTCCCAGTATGGGTACCCTTGCCAAACAGGCATTTTTTCCAACCCTCTTGGGGAATCTCTGTGATAAGAAAGGGAAGCTGTTTCATTTAGTGACGAGAGATAGCAGATACGACAGAGAGTTTTGCCAGAGTGTCCTAGGCCCAGACCCAAGCATTGTCAACATGATTTTATTGGGGACAACTGTGTGCTGGGCTCTTCGTGAAAGACAAAGAGGCTAGACCATGCCCTTTGCCTCAGAGAAAGCCTAACTGGGGAGACAAGATACACATACGAAAATATCAGAGAATGGAGGTATTAATTTGGGTGAACAGATGGGAGGTACTAGTGGAGTTCAAAGAAGACAGAAGGTAGTGTAGACAAGAAAAGCAGGCCTCAAGTTGAGAGTTGAGAAAAGGCCTTGAATGTAAGATTTGAACAGGATTGTTTTCCCAGTTGGGAAGGCAGAGATGGAAGAAAGAGAAGGTGAACTTTTTTTTTTAAGATTCATTCATTTATTTTTAGTTTTCAACTTTTCACTTCCATAGGATTTTGAGTTCCAAATTTTCTCCGCATCTTGTCCCTCCCCCAACCCCAAGAGAGCATGCATTCTGAATACCCTTTCCCCTAATCTGCCCTCCCTTCTATCTCCCCCCCCCACTTCACTCATCCCCTTCCTCTTCTATTTTTCTGTAGGGCAGGATAGATTTCTGTACTCCATTGCCTGCATCTCTTACTTCCCAGTTGCATGTAAAGATAATTTTTTTTAACATGTGTTTTTAAAACTTTGGGTTCCAAATTCTCTCCCTTCCTCGCTCCCCACCCACCTCACTGAGAAGACAAACAACTCTACAGGTTATACATGTGTAGTCATGCAAAACACTTCGATAGTAGTCATGCTGTGGAAAACTAACTATATTTCCAAGACGGTGAACTTTAAAATAAATTCATGAAAGACTGAAAAAAAATAAATGAATTTGAACAGAAAGAAGAGGGGGAAAGCCATTCAAGGAAAAGAGTAGGAGTAAGAATGATTAATTTATGTACCTTGAGGATAGCACTGTCCTGACTGCAGCTAGTGTACCTATTGGGAAATAACAGGAGAGAATAACTCATTTATTTTTATTGTCGTTATTAACATTAATAACAATGTTATTACTGCTACTACAACTAATAAGAAGTATCATGGCTAGAGAGCTGCCCTTAAAACAGAGGACTTCCTGGCCAAGAAATTTTTATCACTATGGTTTGCAAAGTGCTTCACAAACTTTTGAAGCCAGACTTCTCTAACACAGGCTATTTGTGTGCCCCTTGGCAACTCTCACTGTCCTAGGCTGCTCTCTAAGACTATAACTTGCTAGGTGGCACAGTGAATAGAGTACCTTCAAGAATCAGGAAGACTTGAGTTCAAATCTGGCCTCAGAAACTTAGTAGCTCTGTGACCCTGGGCAACTCACTTAACCCTGTTTGCCTCAGTTTCTTCATCTGTAAAGTGAGCTGGAGAAGGAAATGGCAAACCACTGCTAAGAACACTCCAGATGGGGTCACAAAGAGTTGGCCATGACTGAAGAACAACAAACTTCATGTCCCTGGGCAAGTCGTTTAAGCACCATGTGCCTTAGTTTCCTCATGTGTAAAATGAGGGTGATAATAACATATACCTCTTAAGGTTATTTTGAGGATGAGATACTATTTGTAAAGAAAGCCTTTGTAAACCTTAAAGTGTTATATGTAAATGCTAGCTATTATTATTGTTATTGTCATCATCATTATCATCATTATCATTCTTACTCCAGATAAGATTGCACATAAGCAGAGTGGGGCAAGACCCTAACCTTAATAAGAAGTTCAGGGACCAAGGGAATGATTGTATTAGATGACGATTATAAAGGTGATATGGTATAGCTAGAGGAATGAGTAAATCAACCAGAAGATGAAGAAATTGTGTCTCAGTCTTCAGTCCCATCTCTCATTTCTCCCTTCCTCTTTCCAGGATGCTGAAGGCCTAGAGGAGAGGCGGAAGACAGTGGTAGCATCTGCAGCCAAGAGTGTGGTGGAGTTTGCTGGGCCTTCACCCCCCTCCAAACGGGCACGAGAAGACAGTGGGATGGTGCCTCTTATCATTCCTGTGTCAGTCCCTGTGTGCAGGGTGGATCTGCCAGAGGTAGCACAGCTGGGGTATTCAGATGAGGAAGGGAAAGTCCCTTTGGCCTCAGCGCCTGATCGGAGCCCCACGGAACACAAACCCTCAGTCATTGTCACACGAAGGAGATCCAACCGGAATCCCGTGGCCGATGTGCCAGCCCAGGTAGGAACGGCATTTTGTAAACAAGATACTACTTCCCTTTCCTCTGCTTCTCCTTCCCCTCCCCCCGCTCCTTTACACGTATTGCTGTCCTTTTGGATGGGTTGAAGATTTCTGGGAAAAATGAATACTGATGACCTGTAATTTATTGGGAAGAGAACACCATATGGCAACTGAAACCAGAACCCGAGACTTGTTCTTTACTCCCAACCACCTAGGCTTAATAGCATCCCGTGGTGACTAGTCCTAAAGTAATCTTTAAATAGTGTTCCAAAATCTGTAGGGAAGAAGGTTACGGCATGTTTCTGCATCTTGAATCAGGAGAATTTTGGAGCTACAGAGGCCCTCAGCCTATCTAATCTGACTCCCTTTATTTTACTGAGAGACCCAGAGAAGAGGTAGTGACTTGCCTAGGGTCACCCTGTAGTAAAGTTGGAAACTGAACTTGAATCACTTAACCCTCTGTCCAGGATTCTTTCCATTATGCTGTGCTGCCCCCCAGTGTTCTTATGACAAAAGTAAAACTTTTAATGGTCCTTGAACTTCTCTCAAAATCTTCATATTGAAAGACCCTGCTTTTATGGGTATTGTTCCATTCAAATTTACATTTAGGGAGGCTGAAATGGAAACCCGAGTTATTGTCCCCATTTTACAGAAATTGGTACACATAAAACATTGCAGGTCATCATTGGAAGTTTCATGTTATCAGTGAAATAGACCAGGCTGGCAGAGAGAAAAAACTAATCTTAAGAACAATCACTGATCAATTGCTGAATCATTTGGGTCGAGAATCTGTTTTGACTTTCTTTCCCTCATGGACAATGATAAAGTAGTAGACCCAGGAGGAGACAGTAAAGAGAAAAATAAATAAAGATATTAGATATGTTCTCTCTTTTAGTTCTTTTGAGGATGGTGGAGAAAGAAGAAATAGGTTCAAGCTTTCTTCCAGAGGGAAGAGTCTTAATAAGAATTCTAAATCAAAGGACTTATAGATTATGACACCAAACTTGACACTTTCTCTAGATACCATTAGTTCTAAAAACAAAACAAAACTAAACCCTAGGGATTAAATACCAGATAGAGTTATAATTACAGGTGAATCCATGGAACCAAAAAAGAAAGAGAGGGAGAGAGAACTCCCTAATAAAGTAAAAATCCTCATGAATTAATACAAAATAATGGTAATCCTTAAATTGTTCACTGAGCACCTACCCCCTTTTCCATCTGCCTCCATCCATGCCTTACACAAATTGTCTCATGGGCTTATGCCTTTAACCCATATTGGAAACCCATACTGTTCCAGAGACTACCAGCACATTCTATCTCTTTCTGCCTTCCTATCTACCTCATAACAATATAGGTGAGGCATCCCCTCCAGAACACCAGACTCACCCTGCCTGAAACCTGCAAAAAAAAAAAATAGACTAATTCAATCTAGCCGAAGAAGGAAATAAAGACAGACAGAGGAAGAACTGGGGGGCTTGGGGAGGGGGGGTGTCACTGTTCATGATTATAAAAAGGCTGAAAGAAAGGGGACTTAAACTCAGTTGGGCTAGTTCTGTTCTTCCTTCTAATTCTTCAAGGTTACTCAGGCCTGTAAACTCTAAATCTCCCAGTTTGGGAGAAGGTGAAGACTGCCTTCTAGGCTAGACTTAGGGTCTGTATACCCAGAAAGGCAAGGAGTCAGAAAGTGAATAATGGGGTGATATAAAGAAAAAAAAAGACTGAAATACCAAAAATTTCAAGAGGAAGGAAGCTCAATTAAAATCCAGAGCACAAGCAGATAAATCAATAGAGAGAATCCCAAAACTGGAAAGAAAAGTAAGTACTAAATCCTCACAGAGATTACAAAGCTCTCTTAACAAATATTACAAGAGAACCAATGCTTGATGAAACATAGAATACTGTAGGCTCCCAAGAGAGTGTAGATCAACAAGAAGAAATCCAAAATGTTTCAAAAGAAAACTGAAATCCATATAAGAAGAAATTAGAATTAACATATCAGAACTATAACTATCAAGGCAGAAATGAAGTCTTCAATTATCAGACTAAAAAAAACGAATTCATGATGGAGAGTTTCTCCAAAGAAAAGAAAGATGAGAGAAAATATTCAGAATTCAGAAATACTAAAGTGTGGGAAAGCTGGCAAAATAGAAATAAAAGGCAACATTAAAAGAGCACGTGATATCTGTATACGTCAAATCATTTGACCTTAAAGACAAGATAGGCAGAAACATAAGTTTCTCAGAAGACTATGACTAAAAATCCCTAAACACCATAGTCTAGGAAGTAATACAAGAAAATTACCCAGAACTGCTGAATGCAGAAAGCAAAATACTAATCAAAAGAATCAATATATTGCCTCCAGAAAGAAAGGGAAAAAACCTATGCTTTAATTAGGTTTGTTTTGTTTTGTTTTTTGCTTTTAGGCAATTGGGGTTAAGTGACTTGCCCAGGGTCACACAGCTAGTAAGTGTCAAGTGTTTGGTCTCAGGCCGGATTTGAACTCAGGTCCTCCTGACTTCAGGGCCAGTGCTCTATCCACTGCACCACCTAGCTACCCCCTAATTAGGTTAAATTTAACAATTCCAATAACAAACATCAAATTATACAAGAGGCTAAGGAAAAGACCTTCAAATAAAAATGAAAAGAGTAATACGAGATTATTTTGAACATCCTAGAAACTGTAGAAGGAAATAGAAATATATATTCTAAAAAGCAAATCAGCATCAGCAACGATTTAAAATGATTTACTCTGTAAACTTGAAAGCCAATTTAAAAAGATGGACATTCAATAAAAGAGACATTTGGGGCATTCTTAAAAAAAAAAAAAAGAAACTTGAGCAAAATGTTTGATTTGACAAATGTCCCAACAACAGAAACCCAAGGAAGGTATATAAATGCAATTACTAGGAAATAATAGGTAAGGTAGTGTGGAGTAAAAAGATTATTTTTAAATTAAACTTTTTTAAATCAGCAAAAGTCTTCCTCTCTCTTCTCCCCCTCTCTAATTGGAAGAAGAACAAAATCTCTGTTATGAACATGTGTAGTTAAGCAAAACATTTCCAAATTGGTCATGTCCAGAAAAAGGGGGGGGGTGTTCTGCACTCTGAATCTATCTTGGGTTCCATAGCAAGTTTCATTATTAGTCCTCTGAAATCATGTTTGGTCATTACACTCGTCAGGTTTCTTAAGTCTTTCAAAGTTGTTAATCTTTACAATATTGTTTGTCATTGTATAAATTGTTCTCTTGTATCATATATGTCATCCCAGGTTTATCTGAAACCACTTCTTCATCATTTTCTACAGTACAGTAATATTCTATCACATTTATATACCAAACTTATTTCCCAATCGATATATACTCCCTCAGATACCCATTCTTTCCCACCTCAAAAAAAAAAGCTATGAATAAAAATGTAAAAAACATCTCCCGAAAAAAAAGATAAGTAAAATTTAAAAATATATATAAGAGGATAAAGATGTAAGCAGAAATTAAATAGGAAAATTGAAGCTGGAGAAGTAGAATCCCACATTTTCCCTTCCCCTGAATCAAAGTTTTTTATAGGACCAAATTGCACAGTGAACGGGTACATAAATAGAGAGACAAAAAATGGAAGATGGAGAGAATGGGTAATGCTCCCTCATCAAGTTCATGGGTGAACAGCAAAGGGATAGTGACTCCTGTAGATTCTCAGGAAAAACAGGGGCTACAGGAGAGAGAGGCTAACAGAAAGGAGGGATTGAATGTGGGGGGAGGAGACTCCACTTTGGTCTCAAATTAATGTGAGGTGAGGGGATTCTAGTGAAGAGCACTCCCTCCCTTGGAGGAAGAGGTATATGCATATAGTAGGAGATGGAGATTTCCTGTGTGTTTAATCTGGAGGGAGTTGGTACATTGAGAAGCCACTTTTTCTTAGAGAATGTTGTGCTTCCATAAACATAAAGAGGGATATGTGAGCTCCCTGGAGGCAGATGGTACCTCAGATATAAGTGACATGGATCTAGAGATGGACAGCCATTGGGAAGGAAAATGGTTTTGGGGAGGGCAAAGAGAAGAATTGGACTGCGTGATTTGGCACAGAGGATACAGCTTCTGTCCAACATTACTTTCTTCATGAACTGATAATTCTAAGAGTAAAATACAATTTCAAAAAGGGGTGGGTGAGCAACAGCAATAACAGCAATTATTTAGAAAATAGAAATCAAACCCATTACTTAAAAAACTTAACCCCAATACAAGAAAAGTAAAATAGAATAAATAAAAAGTAGAGACCACAAATCAAAGAATGATATTTTAAAATAGACTGAGAGGAGAATTAACTAAGAGAACAAAGCAGAAAAAAAATTTTCTCAGAAACATTTAAACTGATAAACATAAGTAGCCTGTGGGAAGGAGGAGATTTTTTAACTAACTGCTTAACTTGAGAGGGAGAAAGGAGGAAAAAAGAGAGAAGAAATTGATAAATAAATCAATAATTTAAGTAAAAACCCCAAACTAGGGATAGGATTAGCAAATGAGAGCTGAAGGGTGTTAGAGGAGCAAGAGAGTGTGTGGGAAACAGGGCTATATGATAAAGTAGTTTTAGCAAAATTGATCATGGAGCAACTACTTTATTAAAAGAGAAAGGGGATTTTAAAAAATCTTTGAATTCCCCAATATTAGAAGACACAAAGGGAGAAGAAACACAAATCAGCATCTTATAACTTTAAGTGTACATGGATTAAATAAATCCAGTGTAACAAAAGAGATTGGTAGAACGAGCAAGAAAACAAAACTCTAGTATGTGATGTTTACGAGAAATACATCTAAGAAGCAAAGCCATATTTAGAATCAAAATGAGAGGCTGGAACAAAATTTACTATGCATCAGGTGAATCCAAAGAATCAGGAGTTGCGATCCTGCTTTCAGACAAAGCAAAAATAAAAATTCACCAAAAATCAGGTGAGAAATAAAGAAATTACATTATGCTTAAAGGAACCATAGACAGTGGACTAACATCAATATTAAACATGCAGCAAATGACATAACACCTAAATTCATAAAAGAAAAAGTAATCAACTTTATAAAGATGTGGATATTAACACCACTGTATTAGGATACCTTAAAGTTTCTTTCCTTCTAAGAGCTTCTGACAGGGAAAATATAGAACTGAACAAACTATTGGAGAATTTAAGTCTAAAAGATTGTGATACCATGGAATGGGACTACTAAAGGATATACTTTTTTGTTTGTTTTTGCACCACATCACATCTTCATAAAACTTGACAGTGGTATGACGGCAACAACAAATAAACACAAAATAAGAACAAAAAAGAAAGCTTTGAACATTAGAGGAGAAAGAAATTGGAAAACTGAAAGGATGTTGAATTGAGCAAACAAAACTAGGGGGAAATGAAATCAATCAGAAATCCTCAAAACAAGCTAAGGTACCACCAGCACAACAAAAAGAGAAAAAATAAAAAGAATGATCAGAACCTCCTATACACAGTTATATACAAACACAATTGAGAATTCAAAAGAAATTGAGGATTATTTACAGAAGTTCAAAGAGATCTTTAATTACAGAAAAAAAAGAATTTAAACTAGGTGTAAAAGAATTAGTGAAGGAAAAAAAAAACCATAACTCCTGGTCCAGATGGATTTATAGGAGAATTCTGTCAAACTTTTAAATACCTATACTATTCAAATTATTCTCAAAAACTGAGAAAGAATGCCCTCTGTGAAACTCATTTTATGAGATAAATTTAGTCCTAACAGCTTTACGAGCCACAGAAAGCAAAATTATGGCCCAGTAACATTAATGAATATAAATCCAAAATTTAATGTAACATGCTGGCAAGTTGACTATACAGCAATTTATCTAAAAAATCATTCACTGTGATCAAATTGGATTTATGCCATGGATGCAAAGATTAGGAGACAGTATGATTAATCATATTAGAAGCAAAAGCATCAAAAAGCACATGATTGTATCAGTAAAGACAGAAAAGACCTCTAACAAAGTACGATATTCATATATGCTAAAAACCACACACAGTATTAAGTACAGAAGGATTTTTTTAAAAATAAGATATAGCCTTCTAAAAACCAAAAGCTAGTATTATATGAAATGGGGAAATACTAGAAGCTTTCCCAATAAACAGACAGTTTTGGTTCCATGAAATTGAAAAGCTTTTGTGTGAACAAAATTACTGACAGTATAAGAAGAGGTCAACTGGGAGAGATTCTATGTACTAATTATCCCAAAAGCCTTTCCCCAATAAGTGGTCAAAGAATATGAATAAATGGTTCTCAAAGGAAGAATTACAAACTCTTAGCAGTTATATAAAATAATATTCCAAATCATGAATATGAAAAACGCAAATCACAACTGCCCTGTGGTTTCCACCTTATAACCAGAAAAGTGGCAAAAATAATAGGTGAGGGAATGGTTAATGCTGGATGGAGTTGTGGAAAGATGCACACACTAATATACTGTTAGTGTGAGAGCTACAAATTGTTTCCACCCTTCTGGAAAGCAGTGTGGAATTATGCTAAGAAAGTGGCTAAAACTTCTATACATTTTGAACCAGAGATGCTACTGTTAGGCACCTACCCCAAAGAAGTCAGTGACAGAGAAAGGCCTCTATACATCAAAATATTTGTAGCCCCCCCCTTTTTGTATTATCAAAGACCTGGAAACAAACCTTCAGTTGGGGAATAGCTAAAAAATGAATATAATGCAGTATTACTGTACTGTATGAAATGACAAATGTTGACTGTGGAGAAGCATAGCAAGAATCTATTTGAACTAAGGCAAAATGAAAGAGAGCCAAAAGAAAATACACGCATTGACTACGACAACATTCATGGGAAGAACAGGAAGAAAACAACAGAAACTGAACGTTGTGAAATGATAGTAATTGAACTTGGCCCCCAAGAATAGAGATGGTGGACCATAGACATGGAACACTGTATGTATGCATGTAGATGTATGTACATATATATCAGACTTTTTTAAAAATAATGTTGGTTAGTTTTTCTAAACTTTTTTTCTTCCTCTTTTTTCCCCCTTTGTTATAAGGAATGGCTCTTCGGGAAAGGGGTAGGGAAGGGAAATAGTGAGACATGTCAGTGATGAACACAAATTGTCTCAGCAAAAATTAATTAAAATTAAATTTAATAAATTAATTAATTAGAATTTAAAAATTAATTTTAACAAAAAAGAATCCCAAATCCAAGCACACGACCATATGATTTTCTTTAAAAAGGGTGACTGTCTCTTATTTGCTTTCTTTCTGCAGGTTGAAGATGTGGATCCCAAGGGGGATGGTGAGGGTTTGGTTCGAAAACCAAAGCAGAGGCCTCGACCTGAACCCTTGATTATCCCCACCAAGGCAGGCACTTTCATTGCCCCTCCAGTCTACTCCAACATTACTCCCTACCAGAGTCACCTACGCTCTCCCGTCCGCCTGACTGACCACCCATCTGACAGAAACTTTGAGCTTCCCCCCTACACGCCCCCACCTATACTCAGCCCTGTTCGTGAAGGCTCTGGCCTCTACTTCAACGCCATCATGTCAGCCACTGGCCTCGTTGCCCCTCCCCCCATCACACCAAAGAGTGCTCACCGTACCCTACTCCGGTCCAGTGAGTGTTCTGTTTTTTTATTGGGAAATATGGGTAGGAGGGAGGCAGCATGAAGAAATCCCATCTTTCAGGGCCTCTCTGGATTAGCCTAAATCTCTGGGATACAAAAGGGAGCAGCCTTTTTGACCAGCTCTTTAGGATAGAGGTAGTATTACTCTTCTTCTAAGAATGACTCACCATCTTCTTCAGTCATATATGAGTTTGTGCTACGTTGTTTTGATCACATTTCCACATACTTCTTCCCTTCCCCAGCAAAATCATCCTAACCCATCAACCAAGTGTGACAGGATATGTTCTATTCTAGTCACTGAATTGGTTTGTACTAGTCCAGCCACATGTTTTTGCCTTTTCCCTCTAGTGGCTAATTACAGGCCCAGATGAACCCTGGAGTTCTGAGTTAGGGCTGGCCCTTGAAACCCAGTGAAAAAAGTTGACTTGGAGGGATTTGTGTGCATGATTTCAGCCCTCCATCCCACCCCATAGTGACACTGCTCTCTGGCTCCCTCTGGTGGTTGCCTAGAAGAACAACGGTGTTGTCATGGGTTTATTCCCCCTATCCCACACTACCTTCTCCACCTCCCCCTTAGCAGAATTGTAGACTATAGCCCATGTCCTTCTTTCTGTCCTGAGTTTGAGATAGTTCAAGAAGCCACTTATGAAGTTAGACTGAAGGCAGAGAAGAGATAACTGATAAGCAAATATTTGTTTAGTTGTTTTTCAGTTGTATCCAACCCTTTGTGACCCCATTTGGGGTTTTCTTGGCAAACAAACTGGAGTGGTTTGCCATTTCCTTCTCCTGTGTCCCCATTCTTCACCTGAGGAACTGAGGCAAACAGGGGTTAAGTCACTTGCCCAGGGTCAAATAGCTAGTAAGTGTCTGAGGATGGATTTGAACTCAGGTCTTCCTGCTAGCCTACCTGCTGATTTTGTTAGAGGTTAGGAATTTATTAGACCAAGAAGACCTGGGAGAGAGCAGTTTGTTTCAAATGGAGAGAAGAGGATGATCAAAAGCACCGAGGTGACTGAGGAACAGAGAATAGTCTGGCTGAATCTTAGGACAGGGGGTAGGGGGAGGGGAAAGGAGACTAGAAAGATGAGAGGGAGCCAGATTGTGGAGGGACTTGAAAACCTAGTGGAGGAGTTTGGATTTTACCCTGTAAGTATTAGACTATGATTTGGAAGCTTTGTTTAAGCCTAGGAGAGACAGAATGAAAGTAGTATGTGCAAAAGACAGCTAAATCCTAAGGCATTTAGGCAATCCTAAGGCAATCCTAAATCCTGAAAACGAAGGCAAAGAATGGGAGAGACCAGGAAGGCAGGGGTTTAGTTCCTACATTTAAGGGCTTGGGCTAGTGTCTCTTGACTTCTCAATGTCCCAGGCAAATCTGTGAGACTAAGTACCTGGGGTTTGCTAATTTTCACTAATGGAAGGAGTTCTCCACACTGAAGACATCTCCCAGACTTAGATCACCCCCCCCAGGCGCCTCCCCTCCCAAATCAGACAGTATTGTGTCAAGTGGATTGGATCTGAGAGAGAGCCATTTTGGAGACTTCCAATATTCCACCCAAGAGATATTCCGGTCTCTTGAGAGGGTTAGACTGACTTGGTGGCCTGTGCTTTAAGGTCTGCAAAGTACTTTGTTGTTCAGTTGACCTTATTGTCCTTAGCATACAAGTGCTGGCCTTGGCCTTTTCTTGGCAAAGATAATGGAGTGGTTTGCCATTTCCTTCTCCTGTGGACTAAGGCAAGGAGAAGTTAAATGACTTGCCTAGGGTCACACAGCTAGTAAAGTCTGAGACTGGATTTGAACCCAGGTCTTTCTGACTCCAGGCCCAGTGCACTCTCTACTGAGCCACCTAATTGCCTTGCAAAGCATTTTACTAATGCACTATCTCATTTGAACCTCACCCCAACCCTATAAGGTAGGTGCTGTTATTGTCTCCATGATAATAATTCTCACTGAGGTTAAGCCTGGTTCAGTGGCTTGCCCAAGGTCAGACCTAATAAGTATCTGAGACAGGATTTGAATTTAGGTCTCCTTGAGTAGTTAAGCTTGGAATCCAGCCTTCCCTCTGCTGAGACAGTCTTTTCTATGGAGCCATAGCGCTGCCTAGCTGCCTCAACAGAAAGGAAGGGTGGATTCCAAACTTAATTAAGAGATAGCAGTGTTAATAATTGCTGTTAATAATTAGTCATCACTTTACAAATCCTGTTTCTCTTGATGTCATTTGCTGCCAGTAATGCAATAATGCCAAGCCTACCTTAGCCCAAGAAGCCCCTGAGGGCTTCTTTTAGGGGTTAGATGGTTCTTTTAGGGGTTAGATGTGTTGGGACAGAATGCACCAAGTGAGAGTGCAAGTAAGAAAGAGCTTCCTTAGAAGCGAGTTTCCTGCAGGAAGCCAAAAGAATAACCCCCCCACCCCACCCCTCTGTCCTCCCCACATGTTTTGGACTATTTCATAAATATGTTGTTTGTCTCTCAGACAGTGCTGAAGTCACTCCACCTGTTCTTTCTGTGATGGGGGAAGTTACACCTGTCAGCATTGAGCCGTAAGTGTTTCAAAGAATGCTACCTTTACCCCCTTGCCTGCCTCAGTCCTTTACACAAAAATAGTCTTGTGCCTTTCTTCTCAAGCATATGAAGTGAAAATGGAAGTGGGAACTACTCTAGGAACCTTAAATATGTTAGAATTCGATCATTTGCTTACTGTTGGGGTAGAGAATGCCCTTCTATTTGAGAGAAAAGGGGAATGACTGGTAGTGGACCTTGGTCTCCATTAAGGAGTCCCTTTCTGCCTGTTCTAGAGTTGTTCATTTCAAACCCACCCCATCTCTGACTGTAGTGCAGAGTTCAAGATGAGGGTCTAGGGCTGGTTTCCACTTATCAATCAATAAAACATTTATTAAGTTTCTGCTCTATGCCCAGGCAGTTTCCCAAGCTTATTTTTATATATTTTTAATTTTAAATTAATTTATTAATTTTAGTTTTTAACATTCATTTCCATAAGATTTTGAGTTCCAAATTTTCTTCTCATCTCATCCCTGCCCCCACCCTAAGACAGCGTGGATTCTGAATACCCGTTCCCCTAGTCTGCCCTCCCTTCTATCTCCACCCTTATCCCCTTCCCCTTCTATTTTCTTGTAGTGCGGGATAGATTTCTATGCCCCATTCCAAGCTTATTTTTGATATATTGATGTAAATCTGTAAAACCTCATTTGAGGTTTCTTTTTTTGTCTCCTGCCAACCTCCATATTTTTTCTTTGCCTAGAAGGCACAGGCCACCACTGGCAACAGAAGACAAGTTTCCCCCTAGAGACCATTTGCCCCATAGGTAGGAGCCCACGGAATGCTCTGCCTCCAACAGAGCCGTGTTTGTGGTTGGATCTCCAGCCCAGTTTTGTGTACTCTGTTGAGCTTTCATCTCATTTTCCTCCTCTACTTCTGGGGTCAGGACCTGGGGGCCTTATCTTAATGGGTGGGGCCAGGGCCGGGCCTGGGAGGAGATACCATTTGCATTAAGAGAGATCAGATACCATATAGTTTATCCTTTCTTCTCCTTCAGTCGAATCAACGTGGGGACTAGGTTCCAAGCGGAAATCCCCCCAGTCCGGGACAGGGCCCTGGCAGCTATGGATCAGCATAAAGCTGACCTGGTCTGGCAGCCGTGGGGAGATCTGGATGCTAGCAGGGAGACTCAAGGGCAAGGTGAGGAGGACCAGGGATCAAGGGAAGGGTCCAATTTTCCGAATTATTGCCTTCTTTTCTTAAACCCTCCTGAGTTTCTGAACCAAGTTTTCTTTTTTTTATTCCCATCTTCCTTGGGGTTTTCTCTATGGGAATCTTTCTGGAACTAGTGGAAGACCTTCTGACCGCCGCCTGTTCTAGTATCTTTCCTGGGGCTGGAACCAACCAGGAGTTAGCCTTGCATTGCCTGCATGAAGCCAAGGGTAACATCTTGGTAAGATGGGGTCCAGCACAAGGGGCATTATGGATTATGTGTAAGGGGGAGAAGAGTGCTGTTGTCAAAGGGGGGAGGTAAGTGGCTGAGTAGGGGCCAACACAAATTGCCCAATCAGAGGGGAAGGTAGATGTGGGCTGCTTTCAACTCTGCCCCTCTTAGAGCCACACTCCACAGCAGAGAAAGGCCTAGGAGCTATCCCAGCTGACTGCCTTCAGTGCTTGGTGTGTGCAGTGGGCTATACTATGTGTCTTAGAAGGCTTGGGTGAAGGTGAGAGAAGGGGCAACTGTCTATGCCCCAGAGAGGGGGTAGCAAGGTGGAAGTGTTTTCCCGCCTCCTGAAAGGATGATTTTGCTAACATGAGTCCTAGAAGAATTATCAGTCCCTTCTGACTGCCGTTATAGTCCCCTGAGCAGACTAACCCCTTGGCATGTTGTCATATGGTAGAGAGAGCTTCAGATTAGGAATCGAGTGACTTGGGATCATAGGATTGTCGATTTAGTCGATGAAAAGCACTTCAGGGGTCATCTGGTCCATCTATTCCTCTCATTTTACCCTTGAGGATACTGAGACCCACCCAAGCTAAGTGAATTCCTTGAGGTTCCATAAATAGTGAGTAGCAGAGCAAGAATTTGAACCCAGGTCTCTGGCCCCAAGTCCATTGCTCCTTCCAATAGTCTCAGTTACCTGAGTTCTGGTCCTTGTATTACTCTGGGCAGGCCACTTTTATCTTCATGGATCTCAGTGTCCACCTATGTCAAATTAAGGCTAGACTAGATGCTAAGGTCCCCTTCTGTTTGATGGTCAATTCAGCTAATGCTCCACTCTGAAAAGGAAAACATTTTTTTCTTGGGGACAGTGAGAGAGCACAAAGGTAGTTATCTCAGGACTGCTAGGCCTTGACCTGGTATTTGGGACATTATGCCCAGGACCAGGGTCCTCTACAGACCTGGTTGGGACCATGACCTTCCTGTTTCCTCCCTTAGGCAACGCTGACCAAACTGCTTCTCAAGAAGCCACTGAGACCTCCCGATCACCCACTGGCAAATTACCACTATACAGGTGAGCAGGGAAAGGGACCAGTTAACCAACACCAGAGGAGTCCCTGCCAGGGACGGCACATTCTGTTCTAAATACTGGAGGGAGAGGGAGAGGAGAAACACTCTTACTAAGTAAACATGAATTGTTATTGCAACAACAGAGGTACCATAGACTGACATAGCTGTAAGGAAATTGGATATGTGACTGAGAGGTTGCCAGAAAAAAATCGAAGGGTTGGGGATGGGTGGGGTTGAGTTATGAAAGGTTTTGTGGGTGGTGAATTCTAAGCTGGGACTTGAAGGTCAGAAAGGACATAGTATGGTTCCTTCTTAGGCTACTCTCAGCAAAGTTATGACCCCTTTCATCCCATACCTAACGCTACGGAGAGACCTGGGGTGTAGCCTGAACCCCAGGAGTATAATGTGGAAGGCATCATGGGAGAATACATGAGACATGGTCCTTATCTTCATGGAGCTTACATATTCACCCTCAGCAGGAAAGATCTCTAGGACTGTCCTGGCTATTTCCCTTAACCTGGTCCCACCTAAGAGGAGGGAGGGCAGAGATCAGCAGGAAGGGGTTGGGAGGAAGATATGGGTTCTAAAATGATAGGGTATCTGGTCATTTAGTATAGACTTGGACCTCCAAAATGATGGGGCGTCCCTTAGAGTGGAAGGAAAGTTTCTCTACCTCATCTACCATGTTCCCCTTTTAACTGCCCTCCTAAGGAATTTCTTTTGAACTGAACTGGCTTTTCATTCTCTTCTCATTCTTCTCTTCCTGCCTTACCACAGGGTCTGACCAGTGGAAAGTAGCTGAAAAAAAATTATTCAATAAGGGCATTGCCATCTACAAGAAGGACTTCTTCCTGGTGCAGAAGTTGGTGAGTTGGAGGGCATTTCCCATGTGGGAAGAAATTCAGTTTAATTCAATACAGTCTAGTATGTTCAAGGCACTAGCTTGTGGGGATAAGAAGACAAAACGGAAAACAGTCCCTGGCCTAAAGGATCTTATGTTCCACTGGCAGGTTTAGCCTTTAAACAAGTCGTTCAATTCGTCTCATTTAAAGAGGGAGAGAAACCACACAGACACCTTGGGATTGGGGATTGGGGGTCAGGAAAGACTTTCCCATGGGAGGTAACATTTGAGCTGAGCCATAAAAGATTCTAAGACACAGAGGTTGGTGAGGGGAGTACCTTCCAGGAATCAGTGGCAACATACGTGAAGAAAGAAAAGCAAAAGGAGCGGCTAGATGGTGCAGTGGATAGAGCACCAGCCCTGGATTTAGGAGGACCTAAGTTCAAAACCAGCCTAAGACACTTACTAGCTGGGTGACCCTGGAAAAGTCACTTAACCCTGATTGCCTCCAGAAAAAGAATGAAAGAAAGGCTGAGGCTGATACGGAATGCTGAGGTCCAACAAGCAGCTAGCTGCAAGCGGGCCAGTTTCATTGCAAGGAACAGAGTGTGTAAAGGAGAATCATGTGAAAAACATCTGTCAAGGAAGCTGGGAATAGACTATCTAAAGGGGAGGAGGGTGGTGGTATAGGGAGGGTGTTAGAGCCACTTCAGCCAATGAAAAGAAGCCTTTGCAGCTGCTCAAAGGACAGGCTGAAGAAGGAGCAGCCAGGTTAGAGCATCCCCTCAGTTTTCATTCTGAAGAATAAGGCGTCCTCCCCCACCCCTCAGTTGTTCCTCTTCTTTTGTCCTGCTTGCCTCCTACTTCCTTGAGAAGATAATAGACTATTTTGTCTAGGCCTCTGCCTCAGACCAGTGAGGATGTCTGTAGCTGCCTCTTCAGACCCTGTGGACTCAACGTCAGTAATGGCTGGGGAAGTAAATGAGGGCAGTGGGCAGAAGTGAGTCATTGCCACAGCGGCCAGAGTGCTTGCTCCAGAGGGTGGTAATTAGCAGCATCAGACAATGAGATCACCCCCGGATCGACGGGCAACAGGCAGATGTGTGACTTCAGACCCAGCAAGTAGCCTGGGAATTGGAAATTGGGGGGCACTTCTGTTCCCTGACCTCACGAGTTGTCCTTCACATGTCAGTCCCTTGAGCCATGGCAGCTAGAGATGTCAGCTGAGCAACTGGTTGTCCCAGGCACTGTGCTAGGCACTGGGGGATACAAAACCACATATGAAATAATCTCTGTCATCAGAGAATTTACATGTGTGCACACACAGGTGCATATGTGTGAAATAATGTGTGTACAAGATAAGTAAACACAAAGTATATCCAAAAATACTTTGAAACACCAATGGGTCTCTGAGCTCTCATTCATGTGGGTGTTCTCTCCGGTCATGGATATTGCAACCCGTCCACACCTGCCCATTCTCTAGGATTTTTTCTCCAAGGCCCCCCATAAGTTTGTACAGGGGAAGCTGAGGACCTTCCTCTCTTTCTCTTGTCATCTGAAGGAAAGTGCCATAATACAAAGTAATTTTAGTGGGAGGGAGAAAGCATTAACAGTTGGGAGGGAGGGGGTCAGGAAGAGCTTCATGTAAGAGATGGCATCTGAGCTAAATGGGAAAACTCACAAAGAGTTTTCCAGTCAAGCCCCTCCAGAAACAGGTTTATTTCTTGGGTTGAATGCGCTCCTAAGAGTACTAAACCTCATCTTGGAAAATTATTAATTAATCATTAATAAATGTATTAGATGGGGAATGGGGTATGAGCTTGGATGGCTCAGTGCAGTCTTAGGAGGGGAACATGGAATGCCAGGCTTCCTTCCTGTAAAGAATGAAAGGATGGATAAAAATTCTAAAGACCAAAGAGGCCACCAGCAAATTCATAGATTTGCTTCAGCGTATACTTTTCTTGTGAAGAAAATCAATTTGCAATTGTCGGTAAAATCCTGTACCCTTATGAGAATATTGACTGTGGCTTTATGCCTAATGGATGAAAGATCTAAAGTCTCTGAAATTCTGCAGTAGTTGAACGCAAATCTAAGTTTTTCTGTCTCAAGAGCAGGACCTCCCACCCTGTATCTTCATGAAAAGGAGGAAGGAGGGAGGGAAATAAAGAAATGCTCATTTTCCCCCCCTTGGTGTAGTTCTGGGTTTAATTTAAAGATTGTTATCCTCACTTCCCTGACACATGGGTCTCACCTTAGGGTTTTTTTTGTGGTTTTTTTTTTTTTTTTGGTGTTTTGGTGTGTTGTGTTTTTTTTAAGGCAATTCAATAAAGTGACTTGCCCAGGGTCCACCTTAGTTAACCACCTGGGGGCATTAGATTCTCTCATTTAATCTGTTAGTTTATTGGTGAGCCATTGTTCTCCAAGAGTGTTCAAAAACACAAACATAATGTGACTTGTACCCTTTCTATATGCACACTCCATATAGATATAAATTAATATCTATGCCTAGAGGTATAGATAGAAAAATATAGAGATGTGTGACCATAGGCAAGTGACTTAACCTCAGTGCTACAGTGATGTGTATGTAAAATCCAGATGGATGCATGCCAGGAATCTCAAAAGTCTTAGTGTAGTATTGAAGTATGAAAGCTTTTGGGACATGGGGGTAGCAGGGAGAGAGAGAATATGAGAATGGATCCAGAAAAAAACTTGGAGACCCTTCTTTTGCACTCCAGTAATTCCAAATTCCTTAGTTTGGGATTTAAGACCCTCCAGTCTTCCTTTCCAACATTATTTCATACTTTGCCCCTTCGTGACCTCTACCTGCCATCCAAGCTGGAATACTAGTTGCCTGAGAGCAATACTCCCATCTCTCACCTGTCTGCATTTGTACAAGCCACCCCAGTGTCTGGAATGTACACACTCTTCATTTCCTCTCAGAATTTTTCCTTCGAGATTTGACTCACATGCCATTCCCTTTGTGACACCTTTCCTGACCCCCCCAGGTGTTACTGATCCCTCTGTTCTCACTTTTCTTTGTACTATCCTTGTTTGCGTAAGGTAGTATATAGCATAATGGATCAAATTTTGAGTTTGGAGCCAGGAAGAACTGGGTTCAGATCCTGCCTTTGGTACTTGCTAGCTGCATAGCCCTGGGAAAGACACTTGACCTCTTGCTCCACGAGCAATTCCTTAGGATTTTCATACAAAGTCACAGACTGGTCTTAGTCTGTGATGGTGAGGAAATTCTTGTACTGAGCATTCCCTGTGCTGAGAAAACCACTGCTATTTTGTATCTATAAGCTCCTTGAGGTCAGGGACTGTTTCATTTTTGTCATTGTATCTTCAGTGCCTAACATAGGGCCCTCCATGTAGCAGACGTTTAACAAATGTTTATTAATGTAATTATGTTTATACATTATACATTATACATTTATACATTATACATTAATGTAATTAATCCATTGTATTGTACTGTTAGGAGGCGGGAGAAGAGATTTTGGAAGGGGAGGGAGAGACTGGCAAAGTGGGGAAGAGGGGCAGGACAAATGAAGCTAAAGAGAACGAGCGACTTTGACTGCCATTTTGACTCCAAACCAGATTCAGACCAAAACGGTGGCCCAGTGTGTGGAGTTCTACTATACCTACAAGAAGCAGGTGAAAATTGGGCGAAATGGGACCCTGACCTTCGGGGATATCGATGCCACCGATGAGAAACTGGGTCAGGAGGAAGTGGAAGTGGACGTTAAGGTGATTCCCTCTCCTGTCTGAGTAGCTAAGACTCTTGGGATTTGGTTCCTCATGGGCCCTCAGTTGAGGTGAGAGGAAGTGGGAAGGAAGAGGACAGAATGCTACAGGGCTCGGTTCCTGAGGAGTTATCTTGAGTCAATTGTATGAAACAAGGTTTTGGACCTTTCTCCTTGCAAAGTGGATGGGTGGTAGAGGAAGGACGAGAGGGAAGAAGGGAAGGAAGAGATAGATAGGAAGGGAAGATTTATTAGCCACCTGCTCTTTGCTAGGCTGTGGGCAGCTAGGTTGAGTAGTGGATAAAGTAATGGGCCTGGAGTCAGGAAGACTCATCTTCCTGAGTTCAAATCTGACCTCAGATACTTCCTAACTGTGTGGCCCTGCGAAAGTCACTTAACCCTGTTTGCCTCAGTTTCCTCATCTATAAAATGAGCTGGAGAAGAAAACGGCAAATCACCCCAGTGCCTTTGCCAAGAAAACCCACAATGGGGTCATGAAGAGTCAAACGTGACTAAACAACAGCACATTTGCCAGGCTCTGTTAAGCACTTTGAAATTGTATCATTATATAACATTAATATATTATGAATAATGATAATATATTAGTATATTATTTCATCTGATCCTCACAACAGTCCTGGGATATAGGTGCTATTAATACCCCCATTTTACAGTTGAAGAAACTGAGGCAGGCAGATAGGTGAAGTGACTTGCCCTGGGTCATATAGTTAGGAAGCATCTGAGGATGGAGTTGAACTAGGGTCTTCCTGACTCTAGGCACATGTACTGTGCCACCTCGCTGGTGGTAATAATGGTGGAAATAGTAGAAGTGTGTCATGTTTGTGGGTCACTTTGGGAAAGTTTTCAGAGGGATTTCATGTGTATTATCCAATCATATCATCATGACAACTCTGTTAGGGAGAAACAATGTTATCCCCCATTTTACTGATGGGAAAATTGAGGTGAGGCCGGGGCTGGAAGAGACTGAGAAAGGGATATTGCTTAACCCTGGAGGGATAGAGGTGTGGATTTGTCCTTTGAAGAAGTACTGTTAAGGATGATGACTGTCTTCAAGTGTTTGAAGGTGGCTGTGTGGAGGAGAGCTTAGATCAAGTTGGGTTGGCTCAATAGTCATAACTAGAAGTAGTGCATGCAAATTGCAGAGAGAACAGATTTATGGTTGATCTAAGGAAAAACTTCCTAACAGTCATCACCCAGTTGAATGGACCATCTTGGGAGGTCCTGAAATCCCTTATGTCTTAAGGTCTTCAGGCAGAGGCTGGAGGTAAATTTCTATACAGGTACAGATTGGACTAAATGACTCATGGGGTTCTTTCCAACTCTGAGCTTCTCCGAATCTTGGTAATCTGGGTGAGGTGACTTAACTAAAGATCCTGCAGCTAATTAATGGCAGGATGGGGACTAGAGTATAAGTCCCTAAATTCCTAGGCCAGAACTTTTTCCTATGATCCCACACTGCCCACTGTGGGGCTGCTTTTGTGGTTCTGGCCTGCTGGGATGAGTAGCCTATGGAGAAGGGCTGGATCCAGATTACCACTGGTTTTTCTTGCTTTGGGCTCCCAGCCCCAAATATTTGTGTGACTCAGGTCTCCCCTTTCTGTCCATACCAGCTCTAAAATAGGAGGATTGGGGTCTGTTTCTAAAAAGAGTCCTCCTAGGCACAAAGTAAAAGAAGCCAAACAAAAACCTGGCTCACTCTTTTCTTTTTCCAATTTTAAGAGTTCCCAGAGGTTGACAAGGGTCCAGCCTCCCAGAAGGGAGGCCCCAAGTGAAGAATGTGCAGTGGCCAAGAAGGAGGCCAAGAAGGAGGACAGGGAGGTGGAAGGGAAGCAGGAAGAGCAAGAAGAGGTGCGGGAGAGGAGCCGGAGGGCAGCAGCTGTCAAAGCTGCCCAGACGATACAAGCCAACGAAGCGGTGAGTGTCTTCCCCTCACTGGGGCCAGCTGAGAGCTCAGAGCACCCATTGAGGTCTCTGACACAAAAGTCATGACTGTTAGCCTCTTTCCACCTCCTTAAAGTGTTATAGGTTCGAATTGGTTCACACACCTGGGGCCCAGGTGCAAGGTTGGCTGGTATAGTAAGGGATGACTACAAGTGAAGAGGTTTGCCTTCAGGTGGGCACCAAGACAGTGGAAGCAGTACTGCCAGAGATGGTGACAAGACCTGTTCCCGGTGACAGGGACACCTTGAGTTAAAGCCCAGAGGAGGATGGTTTGGGCGGAAGGGATGAAGTTCCAAGAAGCAATGGATTGGAAGCTAGAACTGGCCTTTGGAGCAGGAAAGGAAGACTTGCTGAGCATGGGACTCACCTGGGAAGCGTTTCATTTGGAGGGGAAAGTATTTAGGAGGTGGCCCTCAAGCAGTGACTCCTCAAGGAGGGGGCTGTTGTTACAAGGGAAGGCTTTTATTTGGGGAGGAGAAGAGGGAGAGGAGTGATGAAAAAAAAAAGATGTCAAAAGAAAGAAAAGCATCAATGAAATATTTGAAAAACACAAGAGAAAGCAAAAGGAGGTTTGTTAAGGGGACACAGACAAGGGCAGTATTGGTACTACCATGTCAAGTTTTATTTATTTAAATAAACAGGCTGTACATGGTGGATTCGCGATTTCATATTGTAATTCTTGTTTTCTGCTCCTCTGTATGTCTAGATATGTTCATATTTGTTGAGGACTGCCAGGTTCACAATTTTAGAAATTATTTCAAAAAAGAATAAGAGAAGGGAGTTACTCTAGTTCAGGCATAGGAACTGAATTTAGCAAGAAACAAGAGCTCCAGGGGCAGGTGGCACAGTGGACCTGAGTTCAAATCCCACCTCAGACACTTGACAATTCCTAGGTATGTGACCTTGGGCAAGTCACTTAACCCTGATTGCCTCAGACCAAACACTTGACACTAACTAGCTGTGTGACCCTGGGCAAGTCACTTAACCCCAACTGCCTAAAAATAAAAAAAAATAAATAAACAGGAGCTCCAGACAGAGCTAATAGCAAGCTTCCAGGGCTTCCTGGGAAAGCAAGTACTTACAAAGTCTCCGTAGGATTCTTTGCCACGGTCCTTGTTGCCAGGAGCCAAACCAAGTAGGCAAAGCTAGGGCCATGGTGCTCTTCTCCCACAGTAGCTCTTTTATTCCAAACTGATGCAATTGTCTTGTCTTCATCTGTCTAGATCAGTGACGTCCTCATCCTCAGGAACCATGAGTCCAGTGCTCCTGGGGTGGCCAGCAGCCGAGCCACGGAAAAGCCTAAGGAGAGCTCTGGGAAATCTCGAAGAGGTGGACCCATCACAGAGAAGAAGACCACAGAGACCTTAAGTAAATCCCAGAACCAGGACAGCACGTTTCCTTGTAAAAAATGTGGCAGGTACGAAGACAGACTTGAGTTCCAAGCAATTGGAAGAAGGGTGGGTGACTGGTAATGGGAACCGGGAAAAAACCAAAGCTTTGGGTTCTTGATGGGACAGTGGACAAGGTGATGGACCGGTGGGGTGATGGGCAGAGTTGGCTCTTGAGGGATAATGAGGACAGCAGCCGATGCAGCAGATGTCACTCTACCTCCTGCTGGCCTGGGACTTGGAGGGAGCATGAGGGTGAAGGTAGCATTTGGTCACACGGTGTGACCAGTTTGGTGCATCATAATAGATAGCATGCCGGACTTGATGTCAGGATGGCCTGGGTTTGAATCCTACCTTTGATACTTGTCCAGGGTCATCTGACCTCTCTGACCCTCTGTTTCCTCATCTACAAAATAGGGATAATATCAGTAGTACTTGCCTCACCTCAAATGAGGCAGTGTATCTAAAGCACATGAACTAAATAGACCTCAGCTCTTAGGTTATTTTCCAGACTGGTTTAGTATCCCCTGCTCCATATCTCTGGTGATGTTTATATCCTGATGTCCTCTGGACAGCTGCTGCTGGGTGCTTGCAGGACTATATCTATCTATCTATCTATCTATCTATCTATCTATCTATCTATCTATCTATTTTTTAAGGCACTTGGGGTTAAGTGACTTGCTCAGGGTCACACAGCTAGTAAGTGTCAAGCGTTTGGTCTGAGGCCAGATTTGAATTCGGGTCCTCCTGAGTTCAGGGTCGGTGCTCTGTCCACTGCGCCATCTAGCTGCCCCAACTCAGCAAGATTCTAATGAAATCTTTTGGAACTTGTTGCATCAAAATTATGCCCCAAAGAGAGGCAATGTAATGTGGTATGGGTGCAGGACTGAGTGAGAATCAGTGGAGAGAATAACACATAGGGCTTAATGTTGAATGATGATGGTCAGGGATGGGGGACTAGTTTACCTGTTCTGCCTTCCATCTTCTTGCCTGTGGTGGGTTTGCTCCACTTTTTTGTTTTTTTGTGAGGCAATCAGGGGTAAGTGACTTGCCCAGAGTCACACAGCTAGTAAGTGTCAAGTGTCTGAGATCTGGATTTGAACTCGGGTCCTCCTGACTCCAGAGCTGGTGCTCTATCTACTGCACTACCTAGATGCCCCTGGTTGCTCCACTTTTGCTCAGAATGTTTGTAGAAACACACTGGCTCCTTAAGTGTTTACTCTTTGCTAAGCACCTTGTTAAGCATTGGGGATGCAAATATGAAAGTGAGCTAGTGCCTGCCTTCCATGGAGCTTACATTCTAATGGGGGCAGGGAGACAACACAGACAGGGAATTGGTTGCCAAAGAAGGGAGGTTTTGGGTTTGAGAAGACTTGACAATGGTGAACATAGCCCCAAGGGAGTCTAACTGACATACCCTTTTCAAAAGCATTGGTAAAATTGATTTGATTATGGTTCCCTGAGCAAGAGGTGAAAAGGTGGTGGTTGCATTAGCTGCAGGGCAAGGTGATGTGAATAGAAGGTTGGATTGTACATGAAGCTTGGTCTGAGGGCAGCTGTATTTGAGCTACATGAGTCTCCACTCACTCATCAATCAGGATAACTCCATACCTGTCCTGGGTGGGAGTTTCAAAATTGAGTGGATTAACCACCCTCTCTACCCCGTGGCCTTTGTAGGTTAAGTAGTCTGAATGGTACCTGAGCCAGGGCAGATGACAGGAAGGTGGCCTGGAGCCTAGCTGTTGGGGGAAGTGAGTAATTAAAATAGAGCTGCACCCAACCGTCTGACTCCTGGTTACCCTTGTTCCAAATTTTCTCCCTTCCCCATCCATTGAGAGAAAAAAAAATTACAATCATGTATGGTCATGCAAAACAAATTCCCACATTAGCAGTGTCCAAACAGAAGAAAGCAAGTGAAGAAAAATATGCTTTAGTCTGCACTGTGACTCGGCTTTCTATCCAGAGGTAGATAACATGCTTCCTCATGGATCAGAGTTATAACTAAGTCTTTCAAAGTTGCTTATCATTACAATATTGCTGTTGTAGAAATTGTTCTCCAGAAACTATCCCTTTCATTATTTCACAACAGTGTAATGAATAGTATTCCATTACATTTAGCCCTTCCCCAATTGATAGGCATTGAGGCGTGTCATTGAAAAGATCTAGCCAGGGCTTGAGGTAGCTAGTGATTGAGGACGTAGGACTATAGAGAAAGCCATCTGGCCCAATTCTCTCATTTTATAGAGAAGGAAACTGAGGCCATGGAAGGCTAGTGGGATAAATACCAGGGGTGGGATTTGAACCCATGTCCTGGCTCTTTGCACTGCACTTTGACACTGGTGATTCGTATCGCAGACTTTGTAACCTGAGAAAGTTGTGATGATAGCAGACAATGCCCTTTGAGTGCCCAGTTCCGTGGAGCTCTGGAAGGAGTCTGGTTGTGACCCAGCTTTCTCCCTCTATCCTCCTTTTGTTCAGGGTATTCTTCAAGGTAAAGAGTCGCAGTGCCCACATGAAGAGCCATGCGGAGCAGGAGAAGAAGGCGGCAGCGCTGAAGCAGAAGGAGAAGGAAGCAGCAGCTGCAGCAGCCGCAGCGGCAGCTGCTGCCACCCGCCTCCAGGCCCGACGGGAGAACAGCGGCGGTGGTGGTGGTGGCGGTGGCGGCGGCGGCGACGGCAGCAGCAGTGGAAGCTCAGATGAAGATGGCGAGGCGTAGTGAGCCAAGGTAGTGGACTCAGCTGGGAAAGCAATGAGGCTGGTTCTCCCCCACTCTCCCTGTGCTGGGTGATTCCCCTCTCTATACCTTCACCTGCCTTGTGGCTGCGGCTGCCTGGCCCAACAGACCCTCACTGGGGATTCAGATGGGAATCATGAAGACTTAAAAAAATATGGAACAAAAGACAAGCTTTTATTTAATTTATGAAGGCCCTGGGAACAGTGTTACCTGGGACAGGACCTAGTTGTCCTTATATTGAGTCCGTCAGACCTTGTCCCTGTGCTTTTTCAGAATGGTAGGACTCTTTCTCTCATGCTTCTGGAGACTTCCAGCCTGGAGTCATTGATCTCCCCACCCCACCAAGCCATGAGGCTATTGGTCGCTGCTGCTACTTCTGCTGCTTTTTGGACACCAAACTCTTGCTGCACAATTCTTCCTTTTTCTTGACCTTCCATTCATCCCCTGAGTCACTTGGAAGATATTTTAGGGGATGGAAAGCTTAGCTCAAGTTTGCAAGATTTCACCCCATCATACTGGACACGACTTACTGAATGCCACCAGAAATTGAGTGGCTCTGCCAGCAAGATGCTCTCAGTGTCTCTCCTCCCTGGCTCAGGTGGGTGAGACAGAGTGGCCCCTTCTGGGAGGGGAACATTTGGTCTTCTCCTTTAACCTGCCACCTTGTACTAGCCTGGTCAAGCCCCCAGCCAGGGACAATAAGGAGTAGGCAAGCACACTGATACCCAAACCAAAGCTTTTCTAATTATCCATTCCCAGCATCCCTTCTTCCCCTGGAGGGAGGCTGCTGGGTATGCATTGTGCGCCTGGACAGATGGGAAAAGAGTGAAAGAAAGAAGTGGCAGAGATCCAGATTTTTTTCCCCCATTACCCGTTTGAGGGCCTTAACTTTCCTGTTTCCTGGCAACTCTGCCCAGAGCTGAGATGAATTTCTCAAATCTTTGGAGCTCCAAGCCAAAATTAGTGGCACCTGCCTCTGCTAATAGACCTTCCTGGGGAAAGGGAGCTAGTCAGAGGGCTGTCTCTGCTGGAGAGAAAGAACTGGAGAGAAGGCTGCCTATCAAGCAAAAGGTGGCCAAGTTTTTACTAAATTGGACTCATCCTGATTTCTCACCCCCTTGCCAGATGCTTTCTGGCCCCTAGCTACTGTGAAAGAGGGTAGTTAAGGAGTGACTAGCTAAAAGTCATTCAGGACCTCCTCCTTATGACTAAACTTAATAATCCTAAGGGGATGCCTGAGCTGACAGCCTTCAGCTTTCCTGGTGGTGGTCTCCTATAGTTCTAAGGCCTGAACCAGTCCACCCCCAGCTCCTCAAATTGCCAAAATACAGCCCTCAGGTTTCATGCTGTGACTGACCACTGTTGTTTGGAAGGCAGACTCCCAGATTTCTTTAGATTTCTGGATCCTTTCCTATCAGAGCAGTCACTGAACTAGATGGAAAAGGGTTATGATTTGGAGGTTATTTCTTTTTCATATTTAATTTTTCACATCCTCTCAGGGAGCAGGGGCCTCTTGCTTTCCAGAGGCCCAATTCATTTGTCCAAAAGTAAGACATCTACCTGCCCTCAGAGGGAAATGATACCATGTACCTGGGGTGTAGGACCTTCTCTGTCACTGTGGGAACTGGCCCCTGACAGTGGAGGAAAGGAGGTTTTCCTAAACCCACCACAGAACGCCTGCTAAAAGCAACAGAGAGCTCAAGTCAGAAAATTCAACATTTGGAAAAGGATTTTTTTTTTTAAGAAATTGAAAACACTGCTGCTTGCTCAGTTTTCTTGCCTCCATTTTCAGGGCAGTGGTGGTGGAAAACCCATTCAATTCTGGGCTTAGTTTGGGTTCCATTCGAGTAGGCCAAGGATTCTACTCACAGAACAAAACTATTGTTAGTGGGATACAGGTATACTGGAATTAATGGAATGAAAACTTAGAACAAGAAAAAGGTTTTGAAAATAGCCTGTGGGATTCAGAAGAGTCTGTCTGATTCTAGGGGTGGATTCTTTTCTGGTCGCATACCTAAACTTTATAAGTGAGATCCGAAGGAAGTAGCATTCCCAGTGAGGGAGTCCAGGTAACTAGGTGTATCAGGCTAGTGATTTGGGGAGGGAATTGCTTGTAAACTATGCACTGTCAGGTATTCTTCATTTATACATTAATGTGGGTCTCTAGGGCCCCCACAGAGGGAGTAACCAAATCCTTCTGCCTAGCCTCCTAGAGAATGACCTAGATTTCCTAAATCTTTGCCCACTGATCTGTTTTCTTCCATAAGATTGTGCAAATTCAATGTCCTAAGATTGTCTAAAATTTTGTACATGATCCAAAAGCAGGAAGTTAAGCTCAATATGAGTGCCTTCTCAGCTCAGCCTTGAAGTGCTACTTACATGTCCCAAGATTTTTCTATTTAAAAATTCCTTTGGTTTCAGTCCTTGTTTAGACACACAACAGCTGCTCTTGTAACAGAAACCTTCAGCCAGATGAAGACCCTCCCTTCCATTCACTCAGAAAGTGGTAGAACCCAGTCTGTTGGAATTCTTTGAATAATAAAGTGATTCTCTTTCACCCCTCCCCCCAGCTAGCTGGGACCTTCCTGGGTAAGGGTAGGCAAGTAAGACAAGACCATATCTCTGTTAATTTGGGGAGAGAAAAGTTATCTCCAGTAAAATGGGAAAATTTGTGTCTTTAAAGAATTAAAGGCAATCATGGCTAATAAAATACATATAAAACAGAATCTGTAAACAAAGCTAAACATATCCTTCAATGGTGCTGTTCTCGATCTGTGATAGGTTCAGTCACATTTTTTTCTTTTATTTGCTTAACCTAATCAGAAAGTCCATTGCTTTGGGAAGTTGAATAATTAGACTGGAAGTCTCCAGCTTTAAGGATTTCTGTCTCCTTCCCGCTCCCTAACATTCTATGTCCATTGCAATAGCCACCATCACCACTCACCTAAGGAAGGGCATAAACCCTAGATCTCGGATCTAGATGGGGATGGGGGAATCTGTTGCCTGAAGGAAGGCCTTTTGTCAACTGTCAGTGCTATACAACCTGGGGTGTGATTTGGGTAACAGTGTGGATACATGCTTTGTTGCATTTTGATATTTCCTCAGGCTGACTTTTGTCCTTTGAAAGAAAAGGGATTCCCCACCTCTGATCTGGACCGTGAATTTGGTCTTAGGGAGCAGGGTAGTACCATTTTTTTTTGTTGCCTTTAATCTCCATCCATGGTTAAAATACATTCCCTCCTCTTCTGCCATCCACATACCTCCCACTGTACCAAATGGAGTTTAACTAGTGGTACAGGGGTTTTATATGCTGCTTGGGTCAAAAGGGATTGTCTGCATTCAACTGCCTCTGTGAAGCTGCTTCTCATTCTCATACCATATGCTAAGGATGAAGGGAGAATACGATGCATATTCGAGCCTCAGCTGTTTCAATGTTCTTTCTGGGGAGTGCTTCTGGGATGGTGTTACCAGACTGGAAAGCCTGACTCTTTAGGTTTACGGAGAATATGCCTGTTTCTAGAAAACATTTCTATATTCAAGACCAGATATTCTCTCTTCCCATCGTGTTATGTTAATATTGCTAACAACAATTTGCAGCTGTTTCAACCATTACTTATTTAAATCTGTAAGTTGGAGGTCTTTTGGGAGGGGATAGAGCACAGGAACAGTCAGTCTGTAATTATTGTATAAATGCTTTAATAGCATATAAATAAGTACATTACTTTTATTTTGAAAAAATGATCAGACACTGCCTTTTGTGTGTTTGCTGCCTGTGGCAACCTTTTTAAAGACTGTTACATATTAAAATAGTGTACATATATATTATATATATATATATATATATATATATTATTTACCTCTTTTGCTGTACAGTTGTGATAGACCAGACGGAAGATTTTATTTTTTGTGTGCTTTTTATAAAAAAAATTAATACACTAAAGAAAATCTTGCTGATGTGATTGTAATGTACCCATGTAACTTATTTACTTTTGAATGTCTTTCCATATCTCTAAACCTTTTATTAAATAAGGTTTTAAAAATTCATAGTGGAAAGTTGTGTTTTGGTGGGAATTGGCTTGGTCACAGGTTGTATCATGGAGCTGGAATGGATCTGGGAGAACATCTAGGCCATCTCCTCATTTTACAGAGGAGGAAATTCAGGATTAGGGAAGGTAGATAAATGCCAATGGTGACAAAGTAGTAAGGGCTTTTCCCGGTGTCTCATGACTTTGTCAAGTACAGTCCTCTACAACACCATGCTTGCCTGTAAGGGCAGAAAGGTCAGATCCTATGGTTTTCCCTGAACCATTCATTCCACGGAAGCTCATAGTCAGCCAGTGCACCACGGGGTGAACTATGTGCAGAACATCCTTTCACGATCCCATAACAAATAAAGAGATGTACACACATACACACAAAGTTGGCTTTTAGATGTACTTGAAGTAGGCCAACAAGTGAAAAGGCTAGTACTAGGTAGGTCAAGTAGCAAGGATAATGAATGACAGATGGACCCATTTGATTTGCAGGTTGGATTCCACAGACCCACAAATAACGGTCTTATATGCAGAAGAGGAAAGGACAAAAATAGATGATTAATTCTGTACTCTCATGGCAAGTGAAGATGCAAAGGAAGGAGTGAAAAAATTATGTTGTCTCAAAGTAAAGTTTTCCAAAGGTCAAATGTTGGTAAATTAATAAGACTGGAATTGCTATGCTTTCTTAATCCTGTGGTCATATGAAAAAAGATAGATACACTTTTAATTCTTTTTTATAAAATAACACCATTTATTACTATTTCAAAACAAGTTCCACAAAATAACATTTAGAAACCAAATAGGTCTAAATAATTTAAGAGACAATATGTTTAGCCATAAAGTCATGCTACAAAACTTCTATATATAAAAGAGATTAACCAAAGTAGATGTCAAAATATCTTCCTAATTAGAGCCAGTTCTAGAAGCCAGGTTTCTAGAGTGACCCTTCCCAATCAACCAGTCATAGGAGGAGCTGCTGGGATCATTCCCTGCAGCTTCTACCCATCAGTTTCCGATGGAATTAATCCCTTTGGGCAACAGCACCCCAGAGGCAAGCACCCTGCCTGCCAAACAAGCAAAGAATTCCCACCCACCTCTGCACTATTTGCCACAACTCTGTTTAGCCAACATCTAAATTCATAAAATAGACATATAGAGTACGTGTGAAGGAACAGTAACTCACAAAGCTTCTGTTCGGGATTCTACATGGTTTCAGCATTGTACAGGGGACTCCAATGTGTCACATCACACAGATTCGTCACCATGGATGCGGCAGCAATAGAAGACTGCACCGAATAACTAAGGAAATACTACGACAGGGGTTCTTAGGAAGCTACTATAAATACATGCTTAGGCCAGGCTCGCTAGACCTAGCTTATGTGAAGTCTAATTCAAAGATACCATCGTGCGGGTTAGGTCAACATACATCTATCCTTTGGAAGTACTTCCTATCAACCTCCAGTGCATCATTTTAAAGTGCAAATTTTCCCCAAAATAGTAACTTCTCTCCCTGCTTAAATTTACCATAACAAAATTTGGTTGGCTGGCTTCCTCTGATCTCCTCCTCCTACGAAATGAACTAGAATCCAGTTACCACTTTCTCAAAACCGTCAAAAGTAAACGGTGTCGGGCAGTAACACCTCACATAAAGGTAGGATTCAGTTTGCTTTAGCTTATTTTGTAGTCACTAGTTCATGAAAAGGCACCAGTGAATTTGTAGATTAGAACCTCATGTAAAGTTAGAAAAGATTTCAGTTACTACCCTTAACTTTTGATTGTAACTATCATTACAACTTTACAAGAAGAATATCCTGTGAAATATAGCTGGGGTTAGAAAATGGGTTAAAGTGAGATATGTCAGTAGCACCAACTGTGCAAGTGAAGTTTTGTTTTTAATTCAATGCTCTGAAGATTGATGGAAAAAAAAACAAATAAGAAAAGTTTGTGTTAATGAACAGGAACTCTAGCAAAGAACAACTGCAGTGGCAATTGAACAGTGTGCCTTTACAAATTTTTTCAGTCATGTCTGACTCTTTCTGACCCCATTTGGGGTTTTCTTGGGAAAAAATACTGCAGTGATTTGCCACTGCCTTCTGCAGCTGACGAGGAAATTGAGGCAAACAAGGTTAAGTGACTTGCCCAGGGTCACACAGCTAGGAAGTGTCTGAAGTCAGATCTGAACTCAGGAAGATGAGTCTTCCTGACTCTAAACCCAGCACTTTATCCACTGTCTGATAAAAAAAATGATCTACTGAACCATACAGTAGGCTGTTTGCCTCCTCTACTAGTGACAGTGCCTTTGATATTATTTCAGTCTTTCAGTGAATGATCAAATCCTACCTCTCTCTACACAAACCTTTCAGGTGGATGATTATGGTAAACCTCAGAGCTAAATTAGCCTTATGATCTATTTACACATAATGGGAATTAATACGGAGAACAAATCCTTGAAAGAGACTTGAATACCCTCAAAACCTCACTTCTCATCCCTCCTTATTCTATTTCACACTGCTAATGAGCTCCTTGTCAAAGCGAAAGCTCTCTTTCCATATGAGAATAGCATCTAAGCTCTTTATATCAAATCTCTGCTCAAACTTCAATCCTCCTTCAGAGGCTGAAAGAGGAAGACTAATTCCCCTGATCTCAGTTCCTGGCATGTAATCTCAAAGGAAGTGAATTAACATCAACTTAAATCGTAACTTAAAAAAAATATTTTTAAACCATACCTAGGAACATTGCCAAGACCAAGTTATTTTCACATAATGAACCATATCTTCAGATCACTCCCAAACTAGATTTGAACTATCTCAGAAGTTTGTTGTAAGGAATACCCTTTGTAAACTGTAAAGCACTTTTTAAAAAGTGAGTTACTAAGGAAAGATGTATATGAATGTCTACATTATCCAACTCTCATGTACAATCCCAAGTTTTATATAATTTGTAAAATTTTTATTACTGACACATAAAACTCTGAATCTTGTGCAAAATTTTACTATAAATCACCCTTAAACATGGACTCAGTTTTTTTTTTTAAGTATACTCAAAATGTTAGACTTTAGAAACTGAGTAAGAGAGAAGTGTGGACATTTCCTAACCAGGAAAGGGTACCACTGCTAATCAAAAGAGAGAAGGTGAAAATCAGCGATCTCTTGGGAGAGTTGGGTTAAAGTAAAAATTGTAAGAAATGCTAGGTGAGACACTTCTAGGAAAAGATGAGAAAATAAAAATAAAACTACCAAAAGTTGAGAGACAAAATAGGATAACATTTGTATGCCTTTTCTAGCCATCTATCATACATACATCACCTTTTTAAACATCACATGAAGACTGGCAGCAGATAACTAGAGAGTTGTGTAAAAATATATAAAATCACAACTATATCGATATTGGATACCACAGAAGGGTTGAATTCTTTGGATGACTAAAATAGAAACTTTTCTGGACAATTAAAAGATCTGACCAATTCTGCAAATTTACCATTAGAGGGAAAAATAGATTCAGTAAAACTAATTTAACCACTTGAAACATATATGTATAAACCATATATTATATGTAATATATATGAATAATCTAGGAACACAGAGACAACACATTCAAACTAGGCGAAACATCTTTCCTACAAGCAATATGCTTAAGGCATAAAGCGTCAGTTAAATTTAGGGTCCTTTGAAATAGATGAAGTAAGAACGTGAACTACTTCTGGGTCCCTATATTTCCTTCCCTAATGGCTAAGACTCTAGATTTCAGTCCCACAAAAAGAACCTTGCTAGGCACCACAGTAGGCACTCAATGAACACGGTGAGTTGACATGAATGTGAATATTGGGTGAAGTCATCAGGAATCACTACCTTCTATTCCTCTGAACACAACATGTGATTCCCAGGTTACCAGAGGAAAGAAGAAAAGTCCCTTCTCATTTAAAAAGGTCAGGGCCGTGGATAGGAAAAACCAGCATCAAACCGTGTGACCAGCAGGCTCGACCAGCCAATGCGGCTGTAAGTCATTCATTCGCTCTGCCAGCGCCTTTTCGGGGAAGAGAGCACAGGAAACACACTCGCTCACTCTAAAGATTTTCGATTCAGCCAGGACAACAGAACGAACTGCCAACTACAGCAAAAGTACAATGAAGGGCCTTTGAATTATGATCCCCCTGAATATTCACAGACTTTGGATTCTTAAGATTGGGCAGGGTTTCCTAAATTAACTATATAGAATTTCTTCTAAGATAATGGCTAAAAAGTTTAAAATGCTGCACCAATTTTTCTTCTTTTATCATTAGAAACTGATTGTCAAAGCAGTAACACCTTTCTAATAAGGAAATCAAATGTTTCCTGTCTTGGTAAGAACTCAGTACTTCTGAAGCCAGGAGCTACTTCTTTAAATCATCAACTCACTTTTTTCTTCTTTAACTATAGATTTATCAGTGGTACCTCACTTTAGGAATATCTACAACAATGTGGCAGAGAGTTCCTGACTTCCTTCTGGCTTTCTATGAGTGAACCGGCCATTTCTCTCTGCAAAACTCCACTTGGGCACCCACTATACCACCTTATGCTTCCCAGAAGAGGAAAGAATGTAGGCTTTTTTGTTATACGATATTCCAAAATTCTGTGCCTTCTTGTTACTTCATGATTTCAGAGTTTTAGGTATATTGCAATGTTGCATGAAATTACTCTGAAAGGTGTTGCCATTCACCTGTACACCCAAATAAAAATATTCACTTTCTTTTCTTTCCCTCCTATATGCACCTACATAACCCATCCTATCAGCTATCTGAACTGGCACTTCTCAAACAAAAGTGAACCTAGAAACAGAAAATTTCATTTATCAGGAAGTTGCTAGATTCAATTCTTGATAAGGTCTCTGTTCTTTATATCTACCACAATCATTGTCCCCAATAAGTAGGTACAATTGATAAAAACCTAGGTGAACGTGAAGTGATGCTGCCTAGCAATCAGTTTGGATTAGGCAAGCCTGAAATATCCAGTCACTTCTTTACAATTTTCACCATGTGCCTAAGGCCATGTGCAAAAGTAACCAGATGACGGCACAGAGAATGATCATTACAGTCATCTTCACAAATGATACTGAACGTAACATGACTGATTCAGACCCAGTGATTATACAGGAGATCAAGATAATCACAGTCACTGGACTGACAAGGCCATAATCTGATTCAGTGGCCACAAGTAAAGATGACCTGAATCCCAGTTAACATGCACTCATTTTTTAAAAATCCCAACAAACCATAATGTGGAATCTGTCTCCTGGGATTTGAATTTTTCTCTCTTGTTCACAGTTATTCCAACTAAACTTTTCATCTGCTGGTTCTGAGTCTTGCTGGTGACTGAAGATCATTTCATGCCACATGTTGTCTTTCTGAACCAAATAGATGGTATTTGTGGACTATGAAAAACAAGAAGGTGGCTAGACAGGAAGGAAGATGGTAAAGATCCAAATATGGGGGTCTACAATGTTTTTCTTGAAGCAACGCCTATTTTAAAAAAATAAACTAAGTAGTATTTAAACAAATTGAACAAAGAACTAAAAATTATTCCTTTGTTACTATAATTAATTAAAATACTTAGGTTGAAGGGACATGAAAAATGTGCTTCTATTCTACCTAGAAAAAACCAACTATTTATAAATATTTTACTAGCTTGGGATATGCAGCTGTGACTAAAGAGGGGATACCGCTATCCGCAATTTCTTTAGTTACAAAGTGGGAGGCCTGTGTCCTTACAGGTAAAGTTGCTGTCACCACTGTTTTGTTAACTCGCTCTTGAGATGGGGTAAGAAAGGCAGAATGATGACAAGGGATTTGTAAAATATTTGTAACATATGTTTGCCCTCAATGTACTTTTTAAAACAACAATTACACAAAGCATTATCTATTGTTCTTACTTAAATATCATAAGTTAAAACAAAGCAGAAATATGGCATTAGCCTTCTTCTTCTTCTTCCTCTTTAATTACTGGGATTCCTAAAAATGAAAGAGAGAATTACTTCTGAAGAATATTAACATATTCCTAATATTCTAAGTGACAGAAGCTTCCCGTTGACCTAAAAACTGTGAGATGCTCTGATGTGTCCATGACTTCCCAAGTTAGGCCCAACATGTTTCAAATGGGCTCAAGGGTACTGAAGAAAAAAATGCTTGGCTAAAAGTCCCTATTGCCTACAAGAACCTGTTTCAATTCCTTACCCTTGCATTCAAGGTCTTCTATAATCTAGCAGCATAAATCAAACTTTCTAAGCTAATCACCAACTACACACTTTCTGAAACCTTATAATCCAATCAAATGAGTGTATAGACTGTCCGTTAAATGTAAAGGAAGAGTGAATGGATACAGTAAAGAGTGCTGGATTGGGAATTAAAAGACCTATGTTCAAATGCCGAGCTCTGCCCTTTCTTTGGACAAGTAACTTAACACCTCTGGGCCCCAGTTTCCTCCTCTGCGAAATGAAGGAGTTGGACTAAATAACCTCTAAGATCCTTTGCGGCTCTAAATCTATGGCTCCAGGGCTTGAACGTTGGCATTCTTACGCTTTTTGACTTTTCTACTGTGTACAAGTGGAATCTCATGTCACTCTAAAACCCTACACCTGTGCTACTACCGCCACCCATTTTGCAAGACTGAATTAAAATCTTTCTTTTCTCAGTGAAGTCTTCTCCAACCAGCTCGACCTATGTCTCTGCTGACTTTCCATGGCAGTACTGTATATGCAAAACACTTGTATACTGCCTTACACTCTGTCTTGTTTGTTGCTCCTATGGCACGGTTTTCTTTAAAAACTTTAAAAAATTAGAAAAACACCGCCCTGGAAATCCTGAGTAAAACTGGACCTCATGAAAAATAGACCCACACTCTTAAAAAGATCTGATTTCCTTGAATCTTTCAAACTATGGATAACTCAGGCATGGTCTGCACATGCTAGGGAAACCATGGGCAAACCAAACCTCCTCAGTTCATCCAGTTCAAACCTGACCAATCCAAATTGGAAAGAAACTAAACGAGCCTCTGAGGTTCCAGGGGACATGGCACTTCCTTGTCCGATTCTTCCCTTTATAACCGTGCGTCACTTAATCAGCACTTCTGTCCAGAAAACATCACCAAGCATCACCCAAGCAACCCACCATCCAGCTTCTTCAGCCTGGGTACTCGCTTGGTCGCTTCATCAATCCAGATGCCCTCCAGGGAATACTTCTCTTCCAGGGGATTACCCACAAACACCAGCTCTTCTAGGCATCCTAATTCAGCCAGCTTTACAAATTCCGCTACAATTACAAAGAAATAACTCAAAATTAAATGCTGTATTAACAGTACAATTGCTGGGGTTTAATTATGGGCTGATCCTCAATATCACAGAACACACTGGCAACTGTAATTCTGTGGCTCTTCTGTTTACCTCAGCAACAGGCTGACATTTAAAAGGCAATTCAAAAAGCTATGCCACGTAAAATGACTCTTCTAAGCAATTAAAGGTAAATAAATAGAAGGAAAACTCCTTTCTTTCCACCAAAAAGGAGGAGTAAGATCATTTTCAGCTGAATCTAAGAGAATCAATTTCCTTTTCTCAAAATTAAAATTTGAGGAACACGTGACTATGACAAATCTCCATGATATATCATAAACCATGTCAAGAAGTGATTCTAGTGGCAGCTAGGTGGCGCGGTGCATAGAGCGCTGGCCCTGAAATCAGGAGGACCTGAGTTCAAATGTGACCTCAGACCAAGCACTTGACACTTATTAGCTGTGTGACCCTGCAACTGTTTTAAGTTGTATCACATTCCAGGTTTGAAACAACTCTGGGACACACGCCACATTTGTCAAGTGAAAGAACAAAGTGTGGACAGAATGTGGTTGAAGAACAAGGTTGTTGAGGGCCAGAGCTGAAGAGTCTAATATGGGATAAGGGACTTCGGTTAGAGCTTGCCTCTTTCCTTTTCCTACCCATAAGGGCTTAATTATCCAGACTGTTTGGCTCACCAATTTCCCATGCCTGGGAGGTGTTAGAACACTCTGCCCCTCAAACCTTGATGGCAAGCAGGTGTGAACAATTCAGGATGCACATGAAGGCTGGGTAAGAATCATGGGAATGCCTTGGGAATGACTGTTTGCTTTCACTACATAACCTGGACCCTCCGCATAACCAACAGCTCAGTCTTTCACTGACCCGCCTGGCCCCGTTTCTTCATTGCACACTCCTCCGTTTGATGCAACACTTAGTCGAGGGTGACTCGGGGTCAGTAAGACCTTGCACTCACAGTACACACTGGCCCTGCACGGCGCTGCACTAAGCAGTGTGGAAGAGCCAGAGCTCAGTTGAGCAAGGCTCTGCCCTTGAAGAAGCTTACACTCCAAAAGGGCATGTACAGACATAACTTTATAGTAAAAGGGGGCCTGAGAGCCCAAAAAAGCTACAGACTATGACATGAGCTTAGAAAAGGGAGGTTCAAAAGAAGAATTACATTCAAATCAGTTTCCCTATGGCCTTTAGGTAAACTGGACAAGTTTTGCTCATGACTAGTAAAGAGATTCTGAGACCTATGGTTGCAGTAAGGATAACTAAACAGCTAAAAATGGCAAAGTGCCAGCAACTCAGCTGCTCTTTCTGTCAAAAAGTCCACTGTTTAGAAAGTCATTTCCCTTTTGTCTACCCTTTGTCCTCCTACTTGGTTAATTTCTGAAAGCGAGGAGGCAGAATGAAAAACTTGGCTTACCCCAGTCTTTTACTAGGTTATTAGACATGTAGAGGATCTTCAGTCGCTTCATAACATGGATCCCTTTCAGCTTCTCAATGAAATTATAAGATATCCACAGCTCCTCTAATGTGTCCCCAACTGCCTCCTGGAAAAAATGACAATATGAATTTAAATATTCCAGATCCACAAACATTTCCTCCTCCTGTTTGTAGCATATCAGGCACAAGGCCATCACGGGGGCACTGCCGCGTGCCCTCTGCTGGCATGGCTTCGAGACCAGGTCACCCGCATGCCACGGTGGGGCATCAGAGCAGGCCTGTGTAGAGGATGGCCTTTATAATGTACTTGGGAGGCTTGAAAATCATCAATTATATTAAGGTGTTTTAAACATTCTCTCCCTTGTTTGCACCTTGTTTGTATCCATGGATAATACTAAAGGTATTCAGTTCAAAGGTATTCAGTTCAATATAACTCACCTGAAGTATCAAGGTCCAAATTAGAATATAAATTAATGAAATTTCACTTTATTAGTAAATCACCATACTTGCACTGAGAAAGATTCAAAACTTTAAAAAAATCTTTCAACCTGCTTAAAATATCAAGTTTCTGTAAGTCAAGCCCTCTTCTCCTTAGCCTATCAGATTAGAAAATATAATACAACTTGCCATTAATTGACTTTTAAAAAATCATCTTTCCAATTACATGTAAAAACAATTTTTAACATTTGTTTTTTTAATTTTGAGTTCCAAATTCTCTCCTCCCTTGCTGAAAATGCAAGCAATTTGATACAGGTTATACATGTGTAGTCATACAAAACATTGCTATGTTAGTCACGTTGTGAAAGAAAACACAGACAAAAAACCCCAAGAAAAATAAAGTTTTTAAAAAGTATACTTCGATCTGCATCCAGACTCTATCAGCTTTTTCTCTGGAGATGGATAATATTTTTCATCACAAGTCCTTAGGAATTCTGTGGATCATTGTATTGCTGAGAATAGCTAAGTCATTCACAGTTGACCACTGTACAATATTGCTGTCACTGTGTACACTGTTCTGTTTCTGCTCACTTCACTTTGCATCAACTCATGTAAGTCCAGGTTTTTCTGAAAGCATGCTACTCATCATTTCTTATAGCACAGTAGTATTCCATCACAATCATACACCACAACTTGTTCAGCCATTCCTCAATTGATGGGCATACCCTGGATTCCCAATTCTTTTGCCACCACAAAAAGAGCTGCTATAAATATTTTTGTACATGTAGGTCTTTTTCCTTTTATTTTTTTTTAAATCTCTTTGGGATACAGACCTAGTAGTAGTATTGCTGGGTCAAAGAGCATGCATGGTTTTAAAGCCCTTTGGGCATAATTCCAAATTGCTCTCCAAAATAGCTGGATCGGTTCACAACTCCATCAACAATGCTTTAGTGCCCCAATTTTCTTACATCCCCTTCACACTTGTCACTTGACAATTTGGAACTATGCCCAAAGGGCTTTAAAACCAGGCATACTCTTTGACCCTGCTCTGGGCTGCATTCCAGTAAGACAGAACTTTCCTGTTGACTTTCTAAGTCTCTTGGGCTAGAATACTTTCACCCCGTCCTTTTGTTGGTTCTGCTGCGCTAGAATTTGTTTTGAGGTGTTAAAGCTGTTTGGAGGGGAATTTGGGAAAGCTTAACTCTGCTTGCCTTAGTTTCCTCATCTGGAGAAGGAGCTGGAGAAGGAAATGGCAAACCGCTCCAGGATCTTTGCCCAGAAATCCCCAAATGTGGCCATGAAGAGTCCGACCTGACTAGCGGCTAAACACCAACAAATGTGAGCTATTATTGTTATTATAAGTTGCTGTATAGAAAAGCAGGTTGTACAACGAATGAATGCTCTCCAAGTTTCTTCTTTAAAGAGACGGACAAAGTATTAAAAAAAAAGCAATCCCAAATACCAAAAAGAACCCTAAAGTCACATGCTTAAAGAGTGATATGAAAGGTAACCTACCAATCCATTTAAGTTCTTTATGTTATTCCTTCCCAGTGACAAGATCCGCAAGTTTTCTACAACAGAGAGAAAATGATTTTATGTTTATTCAACTCAAAAAACATTTATTAATTATATCCTTACATTGCCTGGCGCATAAGAGGCACTCAATACATGCTTATTAATTAAAAAAAAACAAACCACTTATTAAGTGCAAAGCAATACAAAGATTCAAAAAACTCCCTACCCTCAAAGAGCTAATCTTGATGGGGTGGGGGGAGGGAAGGGAAGAGATGAAACATCTGTTTAGTCTTGAAGGAAATTAGGAATCCTAAGAAGCAGAGATAAATACATACCCTGCATGCAAGACAGGCTATGCAAAGGTATGGTGAAGGCAGGAGAAATGCCCAATTCAGAGATACCAAGTTTGTTAGTCTGGCGAGATGTATAATAAATAAGGGGAACGTATTCAACCTTCATAATGGATTATTTTATTTATAACATACACTGTTGTAAAGGTGATAACTGAAATTTATGTAGCACTCTGTACTTCGCAAAATTTACATAGCACTGTTAGACATAATCTCATTTGATAGTACAAATATACTCAGCACATATACAATCTTTAGACAGATTCTTATATTATGACTAAAGGAATCAGTCTGGGTTCCAGGATCCAAGTGATTATAGGGGAGAAAGACAAATTTCTCAATCTGGACCTATATGAGAAGGTTAGGACTAAGGGGACAATGGGGAAGGGAAAGAAAGGAACATGTCAGAAGTACAGTTACCAAAAAAAAGAATACCAAATGATAAAGCAATAAAAGTATTATGGCTTCTGTGATCAAATACTAGGCAAATAAGTTGGTAACCCCAGGTAGAAAATAACTCAACTTTAATCAACCACTATTTATTGAGTGCCTACTATACACCAGCACTTTTGGCTTGCCTGGGGCCAGATGAGATCCTTACCAAATAATTGCCCACAGCAGGTTTTCTGCCTCATCTCAGATGTGATCTAGAATCCCTGGGGTTCCTAACTCCTTCAAGGACAAGAATGTCTGCACTTAAATGATTCAGAAGTGGTAGGGATAGATATTGGTGTTCCTGAGACTATAGCAAGACTAATAATTCGTAAACAGAATCATGATTAGTGTGTGGCAACTAGAGTTTGTTCCAGAGTATGGGTAAGTAACTGTAACTTGGAGACCACCTTTCTTCCCACCAACAGTCCCACTAAAGCCCTGCCATGGATCCCAACATAATGTAGCATCACCTCTCCTGTATCTGAGCCTGCTCATTCCTTTGGAGGGTCACATCACTGTGGTACCCACCTACTCCTACCATTGCCCCACTCGGTTGCCTCCTTCTCTAGGGGAGGGGAAGTTGACATATCAGGAATGGTAAACTGTACAGTGGAGGGACAGGCCAGATCTCTGGGAGATCACCTGTCTCTCCTCTAGCACGAGTGCTGTCTAGCTTCCTAGTCCATCCTGAAATGCAGACTGATATCAGGGCCTGGTGCTCAAATGCCAAAAAGCCTTATGTCCCACGTGAGATACCCACTGCTCGAGCCCACCTGCTCCCTCTTCTGGCGTCAGGTTCTGCTTCCGTGAGGGTTCCTCCCGGTGTCGTGCCCTGCCTTGGGGCCTTATGTTCTAAAGCGTCTCACCTTTTCACTTGAAGGTCCCCTGTTAATAAGCTCCCCTACAGCTATGGTTTAAAATGTCAGCCTTTTACATCCATTTAGAAATTTAAAATAATCACCTAAACCTGAGGTTCCTCACAAACTTACAAATGCATCTGTCCCAGATGCTGGGGTTCACTAGGTACAGTTCTCTCCACGGGCTCTCCTTCTCTAGAACTTATTTCCCAGCTCCAGACTGGGAGGCTCAGGGCACCCGCTTTCAATTAAATAAGAGGTTGCCAAAAAAAAAAAAAGCTCAAGGGAGTTTGTAATAGAAAACACCCTGAACGAGGAGAAGGGAACTTGCATTTTAGTCCCAAGCTTTGCCACTGGCTAGCTGTGTGACTCTGGGCAAATCACTTTCCCACTCTAGGCCTTAGCCTTCCCAACTGTAAAATTAAAGGGCTGGGCCAGGTAACCTCTAAAGTCCCTGAGCGGGACCTCTATTAATCTATTAATTTAGGAATTAATGAAGCTGATTGTCCTAGCAGGAAATAACACCGGTAGCTCTACCACATAAAATAAATATCAAAATTGTAATTTCATACCATGACAGAATCTCGTTAAAGCAATGATTACCTATAGGCATGACTGACTTTCAACTGCTTCCTGATAAGGACGTTCAATTATTGGCTGTAGAAAGCAATCAAGTAACAGCTGAAGGGATGCTGTCACTGAAACTTGAGAAGCCATATTTTAAGCCTTTCATAGAGAGAACATACACAATAAGAATAAAATGATTAACTTTTGTTTTTTATACAAATCTAAACTTTCAATCTTTGTAATGATGTTGAAAAAAGATTATAAGCAAATCACTGAACACCTCTCCTCAGGAATAAGTATCATTACTTTGGATTAAAGTTTACATAATTTTCCATATTCTTATTATCACAATTTAGTTTAAATATGCTTATTCTTTGGAACCTTATAATTAATCCTCAATGCTTTTATATTCTAATTATAAGAATTAGTGAATTATGCAAAAAACTTTGACTTTTTAAGTCCTATATAAATTTAAAATATCATAAAAATATAAATTAAATCATTATCATTTATAGGAATCAAAGATTCCTATAATCCTATTGAAGCTTCTTCTCCATAAAGAGGAATGTGCTATTTTTGAAAAATCATATTAGACTTTCAATTAATATTAATATACAAGCTTATCAAAGAGAATGAAAGCTTTGACAAATTATATTTGAAAAAACATGAGAAAATAGTGATGGCAGGCTAAAAATATCCTTCAGCATTTACAGTTAAGGAATAAGACATTTCATAGTTATTGTAAGAAAGATTTCAGGGGGTTAGGCTTCCACAGCAGGATAAGAAATTCCAAGATTTTGTGGACAGTCCCTCAACCAATCAGAAAGCACTCCAAACTTTTCTGTAAACAACTAGTTCTTAAGAAAGAGCCCTAGAGGTTAAACCAGTTGCAACCCTCCCCCACCCCCAAAGGCTTTTCTCCACCGAGCTTGCTTAATAAGCTTATTGAATATGAACTGACACACCCCAAGGGCGGAGATAGCTGCCATTTTTAATACGGAACCCATGAAGTGGGCGGAGTTAACAGAGCATGGACGAACATGCGATGGGCTGTCCAGGAAGGGTGTAACTCAGATGAACTAGACCAATAGGAGCCCTGATGGCTGGAGTATGGATCTCACTAACAGTTTAAGTTGATTCTACCACTGAACCAGCGTCCACATGCTACTACAGTGCATTGTGCCTGCTTCTCTAACGAGAAGTGTAATAAAGACTTTCCTTCACTCACTCACTGTAGTAGGTTTTTGTTTCAGATTTTTCTAACAGTTATATTAACAACAAAGAACTACTAAGCGGTTTAAATTTTCCATAACTTTATAATGCCATATAAAGTGGCTACTCCTAGAGACGATGAACTAGATTTTCCACAGCAGTTCCCAATGAAACCAAATCACTGCATCTTTGGATCCCACTATTTTGGTGGGAAAAACATAAACTGCAGACAAGGCTTACTCTTTAGAACTCAACACTACAAAGGATTTTTTGCTCAGACTATCACGTGAATTCCCCCGGTTTAGAACACAGTGATAATGGGGGCCCAGGTTACAAACTCAATTCCCCTAGGGGCTAGTTGGAGGCTATCACTCTGTTATGACCCATAGTATACAGACCCAGCCCCAACATATTGCCTTGCAAATGTACAGAAAGGGGTTGAAAAAGTGCATGTGGGTGACCATGCATCAAAAACTATTCCAAGAGACTGCGTCAAAACAATCCTTAAATTTAAAAACAAACCAAAACAACACCCCCGCGCACTGAGAGGACTAGACTAGACGATTCTGAAGAGCCCTCTCAGCTCTACATCCTATGAGCGTAGGACAGTAGTACACTGTCTTCTCTACCACATTTAAGCAACTTCACAACTAATCATTACGTCCATTTTCATAGGATTATAGACTCAGAGTTTGGAAGGGACCTCACAATTTATCTAGTCCAAATCTTGACCTCATTTTACAGGTGAGAAAACTGAGGGTCAAAAGTTCAGTGATTTGCTCAAGGCACAGAAATGAAATGTCTCAATGCTTACCAAGTCTGCCAAAAATAAGAGCAGATTCCACCATTTCAATTATATGCTTTAACAATTAGCAATTATTCCTCAAAATCAAGTAAACGCTAAATTATACCTGAATTTCTCAGATCTATGTTCCAACATTATCTAGTTCATCTGCATGTAGGAAGGATAGAAAATCCCTGTTATTTCTAACTGTCTCAAATTTAAGACCATTCAATAAAGTTATCTCTTCAGTTTTCTTAAGATATGGAGATTTGATGCTCTAAATCGTTACTGATTAGAGAAATGCAAATCAAAACAACTCTGAGGTACCACATCACACCTATCAGATTAGCCAACATGACAAAACAGGAAAATGACAAATATTGGAGAGGATGTGGGAAAATTGGAACACTAATACATTGTTGGTGGAGTTGTGAAATGATCCAACCATTTTGGAGAACAATTTGGAACTATGCCCAAAGGGCTACAAAAACGTGCATACCCTTTGATCCAGCAATAGCACTTCTAGGGCTATATCCCAAAGAGATCAAACAAATGGGAAAAGGACCCACATGTACAAAAATATTCATAGCAGCTCTTTTTGTGGTGGCAAAGAATTGGAAATTGAGAGGATGCCCATCAATTAGGGAATGGCTGAGCAAGTTGTGGTATATGAATGTAATAGAATACTATTGTGCTATAAGAAATGATGAACAGGCTGACTTCAGAAAAACCTGGAAAGACTTATATGTCTGATGCTGAGTGAAGTGAGCAGAACCAAGAGGAAATAGCAGCCACGTTATGCAATGACTAAGAATGTTAAACTGAACCCTTCTCAGCATTACGAGGATCTAAGACATCTCCAGAGGCCTCGGGATGGAAAATGCTGTCCACATCCAAAGAAAGAACTATGGAAGTCGAATCGCTCTCACTTATTTTTACCTTCTGTTGAGTTTTGTTTCATCTTTCTGATGGTTCTTCCTATTGGTTTTAATTTTTACTTACAACTTCACTAATGTGAAATATGTTTAATGGTATGTAAATGTAAAGCCTATGTCAGATTGTGTGCCGTCTTGGGGTGGGGGGGGGGAGAAAAAGTGAGAAAAATTTTCAACTCAAAAGCATATGGAAAAAAAAATTTTTTTTAATAAAAATTAAAAAAAAAAGATATTGAGATTTGAGGTATTTGGGCCTTCCTTCCTTCCTTTCTGCTTTTTGCTGAGGCAATTGGGGTTGAGTGACTTGCCCAGGATCACACAGCTAGTAAGTGTCAAGGTCTGAGGCTGGATTTGATCTCAGGTCCTCCAGACTCCAAAGCCCAGCTCTATCCACTGCACCACCTAGAGCTGCCCCAGGACTTTTCTTTTATATGACAATTATTTGCAGATAACCATCATCAAGTCTTCAACAAACTTGGGAAAGCTTACTTCAAGCAGCTACAAAATTCAAATAACTGATAGATTACTTACTTAAACCATTCAGATTGGCAATTTTTTCAATGCAGTTTGTAGACAGCGAAAGTTTCCTTAAAGAGAATAAAAACTTAAATTAATTGGAAGATCAAAAATACTATAGCAAAAATCCCTGAACACTCATTACAACAAGAATGCCATGATTCTTTATGTTCTTGGCTATACCTTAAATCAAAGTCTCATATCCAAATCCCTTAAAACTTTCATAATGAGAATGATAATGATGAGGGCTCACATTTATATTGTTGTTCAATCCCTCAGTCATGTCCATCTCTGACCCCCCTGACAATGTCTGTGGAGTTTTCTTAGCAAAGATATTAGAGTCGTTTGCCACTTCTCTCTCCAGTGTATCTCAATTTTACAGATGAGGAATTAAGGCAAATAGGGGTTAAATGACTTGCCCAGGATCCCAAAGCTAGTCACAAATCTGACTCCAGGACTGGTGCTCTATCCACTGTTACATCTAGCTGCCCTCACATTCATATGTACTACTTTAAGGCTTAGAAAGACTGCATTTAAGGATAATTCTTGACTTCTTTTGCTGCCTTAAAGTAATTTTAAAATGGTTTTTAAAAAAATATAAATTCTTGGCAATTTCACATATTTTCTAGCTGCCCAAAGCACTCTCAGTTAAAGACAGAAGCAGATAGCTCAATGTGCTGTGAATATGACTGGTAACTCTCTTAAGGTCTGACAAGGGATAGCTTACTCAAACTATCTGTCAGCACATGAATGAAGCCCTATAGATAACTGACTCTTTTCCAAGCCCATTTCCAAGGACTCTGATCATGGGCTAAAAGGCCCTTGAGATTTTTGTCTTGGAGATGGCTCCTCTGATGATCAGCTGTATACCATTAAGGAAGACAAGTCTGAGGGCCATAATTAACAACACTGAAAAGGATTGCTTCACAGCATAGTGTTCTCCAAATACATCATAATAACAACAATAATTCACATTAAATAATGCTTTATGGTTACAAAGTGAAAACACTACAGTTATCTCACTGGATCTTCACAATTCTGTGAAATAAATAGGCTCCGGTTTCCCCATCTGTAAGCTGAGGGGTTCTACTAGATGATTTATAGTTGAAAGGCAATATAGTGTAGTGGAAAGGGTCCTGAAATGGAAGTCAGGAGATCTGGGTTCTATTCTAATTTTCATTCCTCCACTTACTTCCCTAGGCACCTGGGGCCACCTTACCCTGGAACATCCCTCCATCCCTATAGCCTTCTCACCCCAGACCATCCCTCCATCGTGCCAACCTCCTTTTCCCACTGGTGAGTTCCTCCCAAGGGCCTACATTTTGGGGAAAGGACCAGGCTGCCAACCTTTATTCCTTTCCTGCTCTGCTTCTGACTTTCCTGACTTTGATACTATGCTTCCTCTGAGGGCACCTCCTCCTCAATTCCCTTTTGTGTGTTATCTTCCCTATTAGAGTGTAAGCTCCCCAAGGGGAGTGACTACCTTTCTTTCTGCCTGTGTCTGTAGCCCTGGTTCTTAGCAAAGGGTGTACCCACAGGACGTCCTTCATAAATGCCAGCTGCCCATTGGCCTTACCAGTGTGACCATGTTCAGAGCACTTCATCTCTCTGCCAAGTATCCTCAAATGACAACTCTTGCACCACCTGCGTCATCGGACTGTGGTAAGGAAAGCTACTGTAAAACTCAAAGCCCTTGGAACTGGAATTCAGACCTCATGGCTCCCAGGCCAATATTCTTACCATGCTACCACAGCTGCCTCAAAGAAGAATATTCATGTTTCATAGGAGCAGAGATCTGGCATGTAAGGGATGACTCAGAAATCATCAAGTCAAACCTCCACATCTTACAAACGAGGAAACTAAGGCCCAGAAATGTTAAGTGGCTTGCTCTGGGTCACGCAGCTAGCAAACATCTGTGGTAGAATTCGAACTCATGTGGTTTTTAAAATTAATTTATTTTTAGTTTTCAACATTCACTTTTATAAGATTCTGAGTTCTAAATTTTCTTCCCCTCCCTTTCCTCCCCCCTCCTCAAGACAGCATGTAATCTGATATAGGCTATACACGTACAATCACATTAAACACATTTCTACCTTAGTCATGTTGTAAAGAAGTATCATAACCAAAGGGAAAAACTACAAGAAAGAAAAAAAAAGAAAGAGAGAAAATAGTATGTTTCAATCTGCCTTCAGACTCCATTCTTTCTCTGGCTGTGGATAGCATTTTCCATCATGAGTCTTTTGGAATTGTCTTAGATCACTGCATTGCTGAGAAGAGCTAAAAAAGTTGATCACCACACAAAGTTGCTGAATGTACAATGTTCTCCTGGTTCTACTCACTTCACTCAGCATCAGACCATACAAGTCTTTCCAGGTTTTTTGAAGTCTGCCTGCTCATCATTTCTTATAGTACAGGAGTATTTCATCATATTCATATACCACAACTTGTTTAGCCATGCCTCAACTGATGAGCATCCCCTCAATTTCCAATTCTTTGCCACAACAAAAAGAGCTGCTATAAATATTTTTTGCATATGTAGGTCCTTTCCCCTTTTTTATGATCCCTTTGGGATACAGACCTAGTAGTGGTATTGCTGGATAAAAAGGTATGCACATTTTTACAGTTCCAAATCGCTCTCCAAAATGGTCGGATCATATCACAACTCCACCAACAATGCATTAGTGTTCCAATTTTCCAACGTCTTCTCCAACATTTATTGTTTTCCTGTTTTGTCATGTTAGCCAATGTAACATGTGGTACCTTAGAGTTGTTTTAATTTGCTTTTCACCAATCAATAGTGATTTAGAGCATTTTTTCATATGACTATAGATAGGCTTAATTTCTTCATCTGCAAACTGCCTGTTCATATCCTTTCACCATTTGTCAACTGGGGAATGACTTATATTCTATTACATAGTTCTCTATATATTATAGAAATGAGGCCTTTATCAAAGACACTAGCTGCAAAAATTGTTTCCCAGCTTTCTGCTTCCCTTCTAATCTTGGTTGCATTGGCTTTGTTCGTGCAAAAACTTTTAAATTTAATTTAATAAAAATTATCCATTTTGCATTTCATAATGTTCTCTTCTCTTGTTTGGTCATAAATTCTTCCGTTCTCCATAGATCTCACAAGTAAACTATTCCTTGCTCTCCTAATATGCTTATAGTATCACCCTTTATATCTAAATCATGTACCCATTTTGATCTTATCTTGGTATACAGTGTAAGATGTTGATCTATGCCTAGTTTCTGCCATACTGTTTTCCAATTTTCCTAGCTGTTTTTGTCAAATAGTGAGCTCTTATCCCAGAAGCTGCAGTCTTTAAAATCCACATCTTCTTGACTCTAAATGTACTAGACAGGGCTACCTCCACCTTGTCATGTGTTTGCTCTCTGTTAATGTGGCTAGATGTAGGATGTCCCAAAAATCTCAGTGCAGTTTTAAGACAGTAAAACTTAATACCGTACTATGAGTTTTAGGACACCTTGAATCTACAATGGCATCAATGCATAAAATGGTTCCAAATGGGTCATCCTCATTTGGCCACTTTAATCCCTCATAAATCAGCTCTTTTTTTTTACTACCTAGGATGTACAATAGAAACTTGCTATCTTTCCTGGTGCATAATCTAATAAAAACCTCCTCTTTGTGCAGACTCATGCTTAAAAGAACCTCAGAAGTAAAAGATATAGTTATTGTTGGGCAAGTCATTAGCCACATTTTACAAATGAGCAATTTGAGCCCTAGAAGTTAAGTCATTTGCTCAAAGTCACAGAGGTCTACCTTATGCTAACACGCTGATTCACAGTATTTAGGAAAGAGAATAGAATTTAGAGCTGGATGGAAACTTAGAGTTGATCTAGTCCAATGACCTCATGTTACAGTTGAAAAAAGGCTCTTGAGAATAATTAAACAATGAAAGTGGATCAGAATTGGGCAGGACAGCATGGTATAGTGGTTAGAAAGCCATCTCTGGAGTCCAGGAGACACAGAAAGACTTACATGAACTGATGCTGAGTGAAGTGAGCAGAACCAGGAGAACAATGTACACAGTAACAGCAACACTGTGTGATGACCAACTTTGATAGACTTGGCTCTTCTCAGCAATACAGTGATCTACAACAATTCCAAAAGCGTCATGATGGACAATGCGATCCACAGCCAGAGAAAGAATGGAGTCTGAATGCAGATTGAAACATACTATTTTCTCTTTTTTTTTTTTCTTTCTTGCGGTTTTTCCCTTTGGCTCTGATTCTTCTTTACAACATGACTAATGTGGAAATATGTTTAATATGATTGTACATGTATAGCCTATATCAAATTACATGCTGTCTTGGGGAGGCGGAAGGGGAAAGAGAGGCAAAAATCTAGAACTCAAAATCTTATAAAAGTGAATGCTGAAAACTAAAAATTAATTGATTAAAAAAACTATAAATCCCAAAACAGGGACTGACCTGCATTAGTAGAGGGACTTACCTTAATGGGAACTCCCTCTACCAAAGAAATCATAGGTCTAGTCCTCTCCTCAAAACTGGTTAGAAATGATTGTTTACATTTAATTTCCTAGAATTAAGTTAGTCTTCCTTCTACCTCAGAGCAATTCTCATTACACTAATCATATCCAAATGCTATTGGTCTAATGTGACAGAGACATGAAGAGCATTATATAAGAAGATAATATACAATGTTGATCTCAAATCTCTATGTGAAAGTCATTGTGTAAGTATGTGTCATGGTTATAATACAAAAGAATCAAAATATTGATAAAATTGGTACATAGCATTTTAATTCATTCTAATTTATTTTTAATGTAGAACCAAAGAACAGTTATGAGATGGAGCTCTTAGTAGGTTAAGTATAGTATAGATTTTGGCTCATAACTTTGCCTGGGAGAGAGGTAATATACAGATTTGTAATAGGGAAGCAGTTTTTTGGTCCTTCCATGTTCTCCATGCTGATGATAATCAGATACAATGAAGAAAGTATACCTTTGGATGTCACTCTATTAATGACTCTACAAACTCCTAAGTCAGTAGTAGTCTCTTTATGTGTTTGACTCTATCAGCAGATGAATTATGTAGGGAAACATACATGGGGCACAGAGAAAAACAAACACCCTTCTTAAAGTATTGAAAAAAAAAAGAGACAGAAAAGGAAATTGACAATTCTAGAAGAATTCACAGGATAAAATAACTAATCTTCTTCACAGAACTTACTCGCAATTAGCAAGCATGGACAAGGATGCATCCATCTTCTCTACAGGGGGAATCTGGGCATAAAGTTTTACTTCTTTGGCTTCTGCTGGCTTCTGACCTGATTTTTCTTCCTGTTATGAAAAAAAGTGGGAAGAAGAATATTGTTCTGATTGGAATATTTAACCAAAATAGGGTAATAAGGTCTAAGAATCCCTCCATTTTTACTCAAAAGAATTAAGAAAGCCTAATACTAATTATTATGCTCTCCTAATGAATGTTTTCAATAAATAACTACTGATCTTATGCTCTGCTGTGAACACGACTGAAGCAGGTACACCAATACCAAATAGAGAGGGAAGAATAAAAGAAGACATTTCACATCTGGGATAGTCAAAGCTTCTCAAGTCCATCTGTTTTTAAAAACTTTCCTAGGAGGGTGTTCTGGTCCTCCAACAAGCTTCCCTTACATTCAGGACTCCAGACTTCTAATATCAACTGTTTTCTTTGGCATCTCTTTCCTTTTTTCTACCCTCAGTTCAATCTAAAGTAGGAATAAAAAAAAAAAGCTATAGAAGCCTCTTTTAAACAATTTATTAATTTTTAGTTTTTAATATTCACTTCCATAAGATCTTGAGTTTCAAATTTTCTTCCCCTCTTTCTCCTCCCCCCTCCCCAAGATGGCATGCAATCTAATATAGGCTCTACATATACTTTCATATTAAGCATATTTTCACATTAGTCATGATGTAAAGAAGAATTAAAACCAATGGGAGGAACCATGACAAAGACGAATCAAAACAATAAAAGAAAAGGAGAGCAAATAGCATGCTTCCATCTGCATTCACACTCTATAGTTCTTTGGATGTGGATAGCATTTTCCATCATGAGTCTTTTGGAGCTGTCTTAGATTCTTGCATTGCTGAGAAGAGCTAAGTCTATCAAAGTCAATCATCGCACAGTGTGGCTGTTACTGTGTACAATGTTCTCCAGGTTCTGCTCACTTCACACAGCATCAGTCCATACAAGTCTTTCCAGGTTTTTCTGAAGTCTACTTCATCATATCTTAGAACACAACAGTATTCCATTACATTTATATACCGTAACTTGTTCAGCCATTCCCCAACTGATAGGCATCCCCACAACTTCCAATTCTTGGCTACCCCAAAAAGAGAGAAGCTTCATTTCTACCACTTCACTGGAACAGCAGCTTAAGAAGCAATGTAGCACATACTGGATTTGCAGTCAGAACTCATAGGTTAAAATTATACCCATTACTTACTACATGACTTCGGGTAAGTCATTTAAAAACCTCTTTGGTGCTCACTTTACTGTAAACAAAGGATTGGACTAGATGCCCTCAAAGGCCTCCTTCAGCTCTACATCTACAATCCTATCTTCTTCTTATGATGGACTGCCCAGACACACTGAGTGCTTTGTTTTTAATGTTTAATACACATTGCTTTGTTTAACCCTCACCACCTTTGTGAATTAAATTTTGGGTTGAGTCTGATAGAGATTAAGTGACTTCTCCAAATAGTAGAGCTGGAATTTAAACTTAGATTTTCTTCTTTCTCATTAGGTTACTTGACCAGTCCAAGGGCAAAATGTTGTCAGTCCTGTTTCGGGAAGGAGGAGATTGGGGAAGGGAGAGGCCTCCTCACTAGGCATCCTTAATAGACAAGTCTTACTCCCTGGGGCTTCTGTGTTGCACAAACCAACTCCCATAACCTGGCACATCAGGGCAGTTGAGGCCTGTGCTAACACAAATCACTGACCCTGAGTTTACTAATTTAATTGCCTGCCTTTATCAGCAGACTTCACTTTTACCCTGCCTGGAAATATTTCCCAGTGGTTGACATACTCCCATTCTTCCTGCTCTTCACATAGCCACGATACTGACCCCCTCCCCAGCCTTAGCAGTTCGTTCCCTCATCTCATCTCTATCTCCGCCCCTTTAACCCTACCCAATACCCGTCCCACTCTGTATCTGTCAGTCTCTTCTGTTGTGTCCTTGGGTCTGTCTGCTCCATAATTAACCACCCGGCTTTCACACTAAGTCTTCTTTCTCACTCATTCAGATGTGGTTCCTTCCTGACGACACTGCTTCTCTTGCCATCCTTTGCAGTTCTAGTTGTAGTTTCCCTCAGACTCCACTCACTGATCATGATGGTGGAGCCCGAATACTTCTTCCTCCAACTGCCCCTTCTAGACTCTCCCTTTATCACTATCACTAATTTCTTCCCCTTTGGGGTTCATTTATTCCAATTTTATTATCTGCTCTAGATTCTGGTAGCTGTGATTCATCAATACCCCAGAACATTACCCTCCCTTTTTCAGTAAGTTCAGTGTCTGGCTCACAGTCTTTTTTTCCAGGGATTTTCCAAATCTCTCTCATTCTAGGAGACTTCAAAATACATGCGGGGGGGGGGGGGGGGCGGAGCCAAGATGACAGAGTGAAAGCAGTGACTTGCTTCAGCTCTCCCCCAAACCCCTCCAAATACTCATAAAAAATGGCTCTAAACAAATTCTGAAGCAGCAGAACCCGCAAAAAGACAGAGTGAAACAAATTTCTAGCCCAAGACAACCTGGATGATTGATCAGAAAGGTGTATCGCTCTGGGCTGGGAGCGCAGCGTGGGCGTGAAGGCCACAGCAAACCTGGAGCAGGCCTCAGAGGACTGAATCTCGGGCAGCTGTGGTGGTTTCCAGACTTCTCAATCCATGAATGACAAAGACAACTTAGAAGGTCAGTGGGAAAAGTCTGTTTCTGTGGTGCTCAGAGAGGAAGGCAGGGTCTCAGCTCCATTCCCCAAGAGTGTGGCCCTGGGCGGGGGCAGCTGCTTTCCGAGCTTCCGGCCCACAGACTGAGGGGGAATCCAGTGGCTGATCAGAGAGGGGTTGCAGGGATCTCTTTGCCAGTGCTGAGGCAGGAATCTCTTGTTTTGCCCGTGTTTGGATCTGGGTCACAGTTCTCGGCGGCGGTGCTGGGGTAAGGAGGAGCGCTGGCATGGTGGAGCTTGTAGTGGCTGTGGAGAGAAACCCCTCCTCACAGTTACAGGACAGAAAGGACTACTTGTGGTCACAGGCCAGGAAAGGAGTAAACACCTCGTCCCTTATCATACCACCTTGGAAGAACTGAAAATTTACAAGTCCCTACAAGTATCTCTGAAAACAGCTGCACAAACCCCTGAAGCTTGGGACAATGCATTCTCCACATTGGAAGCAGACTCTTACCTTAACAAAGAGTTTAAAACTCAAGTAATTGGCTGGGATCATGAGCATGCAGCGCAAAAAGAGTCAGACCACAGAATCTTACTTTGGTGAAAAAGAAGATCAAAATATACAACCAGAAGAAGACAACAAAGTCAAAGCTCCTACATCCAAAGCCTCCAAGAAAAATATGAATCAGTCCCAGGCCTTGGAAGAGCTCAAAAGGGATTTTGAGAAGCAAGTAAGGGAAGTAGAGGAAAAACTGAAAGTGAAGTGATAGAAAAAATCATGAAAAACAAGTCAACAGCTTGCTAAAGGAGACCCAAAAAAATACTGAAGAAAATAACACCTTAAAAAATAGCCTAACCCAAATGGCAAAAGAGGTCCAAAAAGCCAATGAGGAGAAAAATGCCCTCAAAAGAAAAACTGGCCAAATGGAAAAGGAAATCCAAAAGCTTACTGAAGAAAATACTTCCTTAAAAATTAGAATAGAGCAATTGGAAGCTAGTGACTTTATGAGAAATCAAGACACAGTAAACAAATCCAAAAGAATGAAAAATTAGAAAACAATGTGAAATATCTCATTGGAAAAACAACTGACCTGGAAAATAGAATCCAGGAGAGAGAATTTAAAAATTATTGGACTATCTGAAAGCCATGATCAAAAAAGAGCCTAGACATCATCTTTCAAGAAATTATCAAGGAAAACTGCCCTGATATTTTAGAACCAGAGGGCAAAATAGAAATTGAAAGAATCCACAGATCTCCTCCTGAAAGAGATCCCCAAAGGAAAACTCCTAGGAATATTATAGCCAAATTTCAGAGTTCCCAGGTCAAGGAGAAAATATTACAAGCTGCCAGAAGGAAACAGTTCAAGTACTGTGGAAACACAATCAGGATAACACAAGATTTAGCAGCTTCTACATTAAAGGACCGCAGGGCATGGAATATAATATTCAGAGGGCAAAGGAGATAGGATTACAACCAAGAATCACCTACCCAGCAAAACTGAGTATAATCCTTCAGGGGAAAAAATGGTCATTCAGTGAAATAGAGGACTTTCAAGCATTCCTGATGAAAAGACCAGAGCTGAATAGAAAATTTGACTTTCAAATACAGGGCTCAACTGGAACATGAAGAGGTAAACAGAAAAGAGAAATCATAAATGACTTATTAAGATGATATTTATAACTCATGAGACCTTTGTCAGTACTAGGGTAGTTGAAGGAAAAAAATTATACGTATGTATAGATAGATAGATAGATAGATAGAGGGCACAGGGTGAGTTGAAGATTAAGGGGTCATATCTGGAGAATAAAATTAAGGGATGAGAGAGGATGATACTCGGAGAAGAAGAAAGGGAGAGGTAGAATGGGGTAAATTATCTCACAAAAAAAAACAGAAAAGAAAAGTCTCTTACAGTGGAGGGGAAACAGGGGAAGGTGAGAGGGAATGATGAATCTTATTCTCATAGGATTTGGCTTAAGGAGAGAATAACATACACATTCAATTGGGTATGGAAATCTGTCTTACCCTACAGGAAAATAGGGGGAGAAGGGGACAAGAGAGCAGGGGGATGATAGAGAGGAGGGCAGATTGGGAAAGGGGTAATCAGAAGCAAATACTTCTGAGGAGGGACAGGGTCAAAAGAAAGAATAGAATAAATGGGAGGGCAGGATAGGATTAAGGGAAATAGAGTTAGTTTTTCACAACATGTCTACTATGGAAGTGTTTTGCATAACTGCACATGTACAACCTATATTGAGTTGCTTGCCTTTTCAATGAGGGTGGTGGGGAGGGAGGAAGAGAGAAAATTTGAAACCTAAAGTTTTAAAAACATATGTTTAAAAAAATGTTTTCACATGCTACTGGGAAATAAGAAATACAGGAGATGGGGTACAGAAGTCTATCCTGCCCTACAG